AGTCTGTGTTGGACACAGTTCCAAATAACTACCTAGATTTTATATTGCCAAAATAAGAAGAAATTGCCAGTGGTTGGTCACTTGGCTGGTTGTCCTAATAAGCCTGTGGTGCATCCTTAAATTCTTTTGCACCCAGATGAGTCTAATAAAGTCTGCCCACCCCATTCTGCATTAAGGCTTACAAACTGTGAACTTTTGAGCTCCAAAATCATGCCTAGCTTTCTCTCCCTCCCTCCTCTGCCCTGCATTTTGCTTGAACATCCAGCCAAAAGCAGAGTTCTGGACGACTTGAAAGCTTGCTTGCTGTTTCGGGGTATTTTACCTCATAAAAGTATCACCCTACTGCAGTTCTGGGGATTTCCTGGCCTTCTAGAAAGTTCACTCCGAAGGGAAGGCAAGTGGCAAAGCAGCGGGGGAACATGTAGGCCCCACCATTGCTCCCTTCAGCCGTGGCCTGTGTTCCGGTATTGCCAGCGAATACAGGAACTCTGTTAGGAAGTGGTTTGTTTGCTCACAGGCTGGAAGAGCCGTTTGAATCAACAGGCAGGAAATGAGGGTGTAGCCAGCGCACAGTTCGAAGCAGACGGGCGGCCTGGTGTGCCTCTCCTGGGGCCGGGATGTCTCTTTCGGAGCCGGACACAAACTCTGAGCATGACCAAGAGGTACAGTCGTTTGAAAGGGGGTGGTATCAGGATACTTCCTCCCCCCCTTTTTTTAATGATAACCAAACAACTGGGGAGTGTAGAAATCAGTAGGCCAGTATCAGTACGAGGGAGCAGGAATCCTAGTCTAAGATGCGGGAGTACTGCGTGTGTTGTGAAAGTGGCTTGGGAACTGCACTGCCTTATCTACAAGTGGCTCTGCATGTTACAATATACCCTGATGTTCATCTGTGTGTGCATTTGCTGCTCTGCACAGCAGAGAAACGGACATGAAAGGCAAAAAAGCACAATGGGGTACAAGTAGCAGGAAGTGTTAACATTTGTGGGGCATCTGTGGGCAGTGTGCCTCGGTCTGGAACACATAGACACATGTGAGAGCAGCAGAATATGTGTTTGAGGAATAAATGTTATCTTTTACGCGTTGGAGAAAGGAGGGACTGTAGTACTTACAGTGGTACCTCGGGTTACAGACGCTTCAGGTTACAGACTCCGCTAAACCTGAAATAGTACCTCAGGTTAAGAACTTTGCTTCAGGATGAGAACAGAAATTGTGCGGCAGCGGCAGGAGGCCCCATTAGCTAAAGTGGTGCTTCAGGTTAAGAACAGTTTCAGGTTAAGAACGGACCTCCGGAACGAATTAAGTTTTTAACCTGAGGTACCACTGTACTCTACTGAACAAGGTGTCTGAGACGAAGAGCAACAGATATATAATATTTTGTGTGTAAAAGGGGGGGCAGGGGGCATGTAAATATTAGGGGAGGCCATAACATATCTATAGGTTTGGCCGATGAGTTATCACTGCATATACTGGCTATCATGTGCCTAACACATTTAATGCCAGGCTTCATTGAGTAGATACATGCAGCTCCTTGCAGTGCTTTGAAATGAGATTACCTACTTTGTGTCCTGCTCAGAATTCCTTATTCTCCACCTTCCCTACCCCAATATATTCACTTCAGTCCAATATTCTGGCCACATCCTTGTGTTTCCCAACCTTGGGCCTCCAGCTGTTTTTGGACTACAACTCCCATCATCCCTAGCTAGCAAGACCAGTGGTCAGGGATGATGGGAATTGTAGTTCAAAAACAGCTGGAGGCCCAAGGTTGGGAAACACTGGATAGCTTACTGGAAGCATATTGCCCCCACCCACCCCCAGCAGTTCTTCTGCCTATGTGCAGACTCCACAGGCTCTGGGCATTGTTGATAGGGTAGCAAGGGAAGCTGTTAAATGAGTGTCGTTCTGTGTTGTACTCCCCCAGGCCATTTGTTTAATTCCTTCCAGTAAGCCTGTGAGGTCTGTTTCCTTACTAGAAGACTTACGTGGATAATATTTAACTACAATGTGCCAAGTTCCCACCTGGGCATGTATCCTGTAGCTGGAGCACCACAGCAGGGTCAGCCTCTGACTCAGACAGCCTTGATTGAAGGTAGTGCCAGAAAGAATTTGCCAGCGCATTCCAAGTTAGCACCACTCAAACTGTTGTTACTGAGAAAGTGCTTCTAATTTGGCTCAACCTCTTAGTCTCCACCCCCACCTACAGAAGCCAAGCTTTAAATGCACACAGCTTCATTTTTGTGCATATCCTTTACCTGTTGACTGTGTATCTATCCTTTCCCCTTCTATAATTATGCTCCCAATCTGTCATAGCTAAGATTGCAGTGTTCTCGGGGCATGGACCTGCCTTCTTATGCTTATGTTACTTATTCCTGCGAAGCACCATGTGTGTTGATAGCACAATAGAATAATCTTAATTTGAAAAAGGCTTCACAATCCTTATCTCATTTTATTTTTTTACCCTTACGACTTATCACAAATTTATACACATTTTACAGACACACTTGCACATGGACATGACTGAGGGTTTTCAGCTCAGGACAAAAGCCCACACTAGGACTTGACACATTTAGACTTCAACTCTAAGCACACATACAGTACGTCAAAGTGATGCCGTTAGGATTGGACTGGAGCTGCCTAAGGAGCTTAATGGTGCTACACAGCAAAGAAATGGATGCTCTCTTTCCTCCAATGAACAGATGGTGGAAGCATGAAGATCCTTTTGCAGTTCCATCCAAGGAGAGGCACCATTCTGGACCGCTAAGTTTTCATTACTGTCCTGCATATTGGCGCAGTCCACTAATGGCAAGCACAGTTCTGGGAATAATTTTAAGAGCCGAAGGTTTGAGAACTATATCTATTGTTCTTATTAGTAAAAGGAACCTACCGTCGTAAGAGAATTCAGCCTTCATAGTGCTGAAAGCAAAGGAACAGGGCAGTAATGGTCTGCTTGAACTTCCTAAAGAGCTCCGCATAATCCAGCCTAGCGTTGGTTATGCAGTGGTTTGAGCAAGGTGTGTGTGAGAGGAGTCAGGGGGTTTTGTTTTGCTTTTTTCTAGTTGGGGCAGGGGGAGAAGCTGTTCGCCTGAGTCTGAAATTATGGACTCTTATGTAGTTCTAAGGAGACAGCACAATCCAGAATGGGAGAGGTTGCACCCAGGACTGCTGGGTTCTTGGACCATTTATCATTCCTATTTCGGTGGCAGACGGCCTATTGCTGTAATGCTTCCCTCCATCTCTTTTGCCTGCTTCCTCACTCCAGTTATGCATGGTTTCTTTTCTCTCTTTATAGTAGCATTTCCGTGAAATGTCTAGCAACATGAGAACATTTTTAGTGCTAGCTGGGTGCTGCTTTAGCTAACGTCCTGGGCTCAGTTGAGCGGAAGGGCAGTATATAAATAAAACTTTTATTAATAATATAATTATAATAAAAATAACACTTACCTAGTGCTCACAAACATTAGCAATAATTCCTTGAGCAACCTTGCAGAGTAGGTCGATGTTATTTATCTATATTTGCAGTTTGGTGACTAAGAGAGAGAAGGGTGACTTGCCCAAGGCTACGAAGGGGGCGGCAGGGTGGATTGACTTTAAATTGTGCCAACTTAAATAATGGATTTTAAACCACCTAGAAAGACCATTTTTAAAATATTGATTTTTTTACATTTCAAGAAGGTGAACCATTTACATACTAATAAATTTCTGCAACAATGAAACATAATGGTTTGCTTCTAATTAGAACCTTTATACAGCCTAGTAGCATAATCTGCATTTTGTTGTCATTGATTGTGTGTCCTACCTGCACAGCAAAATCATATCTGCTTAGAACCAGACCTTCTGCCTAGCTCTGTGGATGTATGCAAGGAAATTATGGGCAACATGCATGGGATTGGGCTGTAAGTGTACTTCCATTTGCACAAAATTATGTTTCCCTGTTAAAGGGAAAGTCACTGTGTATGTTGCTTCATTTATATGAACATTTGTGACTAAGTTGAGTTCTGAACAGATTGCAGAATCTAGGTACTTGGAAGGCATAAAGTAGGAGTATAAGATTCCCCATATGGAAAATGGATAACAGATAGGCTACTTACAAGGATTTTCTGAAGTTTAAAGAGAGTTTAAAGTTTAGAGTTTAAAGTTTGAAAAGAGATGAGGTATCAGATTATACTATAGATTGGTTTCAGTACTTCCAGGTGAAAGAGTTATTTTTAAAAGGTTTAAAAAAGTTTAACAAGTTTTAAAAAGTTTAAAAAACTTAGTTTAAAAAGTTTTTAAAAGTTTAAACTTTTTTAAAGTTTTTAAAAAGTTTTTTAAAGTTTTTTAAAAAGGAATTTGGGGAAATGAATTCAGAATTCGAAAAAATTGTAATAGGAAAGGATGCGAAACTGATTTCTAAGATTTATAAACTGTTATTGGAGTGGGAAGCTAAAGGCAAAATGGTAAATGTGACAATGATTAAATGTGCTATAGATATTGGTTATAATATAGAAACGGGGGAGCACTATGAACATCTCTGCCTGCTACCTTATTAAGGAACATTTACAAAAGATGATGTAACAGTGGTAACTTGAAACCCAGCAAAGTGGTGAAAATGTACAGAAAAAGGTCAAATCTATGCTGGAAGTGCCACAAGGTACAGGGAACCCTGATCCATATGTGGTGGTTGTGTAAATATGCTAGAGAATACTGGGAGATTCCATTAAATAAAGGAAGATTTGAGACAAAAATTGGTGGAATAGCAGATTATGCAGCCGACAAAAGACTACCTAGAATGCCATGGAGAGATGGACGGAGAAGTCTGAGGATAAGAGATAATGATGAGTATTGTATGGTGTATATATAAGTTGTATAAATGCATATATATATATATATATATATATATATATCACCCATATAGGCTTTGTGGATGATTCTAGTGATATTCAGAATAGCACCCATTGAATCATAGTGCTAACCTGATTCCAGTGCCTGTAAACAACTCATTGCTATGTTTTCCCTTGCAGAGTGATCCAGGCAACTGGTCAGTGCTGGAGCAGCTGGGCCTGGACCAGAGCTCAGATTTCTCAGACACCAGTGTACAGCAGAAGCTGGATGAAGAAAAGGAGAAGATTAAGCGTGAGATTCGAAAAGAGCTGAAGATAAAGGAGGGAGCAGAAAACTTGCGCAAGGCAACCACAGACCGTAAGAACCTCTCCAATGTGGACAACTTGCTCAAGAGTTCCAACCGCAAGCTGGAGGCCCTGCACCACCAACTGCAGGATCTCAATGCACATATTGTCGTCAAAGACCCTGAAGAGTTGGGGGGTAAGTGTGTGCAATGGATGGGTGGGAAGTCAAGGGTCAGGTGCTATGGGGGAGCCAAAAAGCAAGCAGAGATTTAGGGCGAAGATGGGTAGGAACTGATGACAGGGTGCACAAGCTTTTCTTAAGTATTGGTGGATTTAAGTCTGTCTCTGGCTTCCTGACAATTTCAGCTGGCAAGAGTTTAAAGAACTACAGGGAAGGTTGTTAAATTGTGTTGGTGAGCTTCCCTTGATCAAGACATATAAAAGCTTTTAAACACCTCTAACAGTGACCAAATCTGTGACTTTACTGGGCAATGTGTGCACTTTCCCCTAGTTTGGTGAGAGGCATTTAAAAGGAAATGGCTGGTTTAGCGAAAGCTGTCCTTAGCTAAGTTAAAGAAGTCACTCATATAAAACAGGACTGGCGGCATCTACCTGCACTTCAGGAGAATTTTGTGACATATAGAATAGGATAACCCATCCTGAATGCAAATTAAGAACAGATCTTCCAGCAGGCTTCTGTACCGGGAATAAGGGCATTTATTCTTAGAATTATTTCAGTATCAATACATGGGAAAGCAATTTTTAAAAAGCTTTTATAAAAATGTGGGAACTGCTTTAAAGTGTGAAAAGTGTCTCTCTCATCCCAGGGTACATTCTTCCAGAGTGTGCAGCATCTTATTTTGACTATTCTTTGAATGTTTTAAGACACTATCAAATTCTGCAAAAATGGGTTGCCCCTTCAAACAGTATAGATTGAGGCATGTATTGCTGAGTCAGGAGCTGTATCCCTCTCCTTTTATTATGCAAGAATCATTATAATATGATAATTTTAATTTGTTTTGATGAAGAAGACTGTTAGCCTCTTTGAGTATGTTATAGAATAGCAAGCTATACCTGCCATTTATTATTATGTAATAATAACCATTCAGATTAGTCTTACTTCAGCTACTATTTTTTAAAACTTGCACATTGCACCTGCATTTTGTTTTGGGGAAAAGTTCAGAATATAGAAGATAAAATATAGAAGTGAGTATTAATAATTCAGTTAGCTTCATATTTGGCATTGGAGAAACACAGCTTTCCATATGTTGCTACCTGCAGTTCTTGAATGTTCATAAAACCATCAACAAAGCTGTGAAACTGTGTATTTGTGGTGTGTGTGTGTGTGTGTGTGTGTGTGAGAGAGAGAGAGAGAGAGAGAGAGAGAGAGAGAGAAAGAAAGAAATAAAAAGAAAGAAAGAAAGAAAGAGAAAGAAAGAAAGAAAGAAAGAAAGAAAGAAAGAAAGAAAGAAAGAAAACGAACGAACTCATTTGAGCTGCCAGGCATTGTTTGTTTAAAAACTGTTCCATATAGATCCACACCCTAGCCTGTTGGCACCTTTGTATGGTAGAGGAAACTTTACACTTTGCCAATCCTGTTTGTATGCTCCTCCCTACCTGGCTGTTCCCAGCCCCTTTTTCCTAATAAGCACCGGCTATGCCAGTCTCCAGATGTGGACAGTCACTTACAGAGCAGAAACTTGGCAACTGGCCTACGTGTGTGGAAGGAAGCATTGGGGAATAAGCAGCAGCAGGGAGAGGAACATCCCCAAACCCCTCCGTATGAAGCAATCGAAAAAAGGCACAATGGAGCCCATGGAGCACATAGGCAGAACCTTAAAATGTCAAGGCTCCACTTCCATTCCAGAATAGCTTGTTACAACGATGGGGCTGCATCTTATGGAGAGGCAGCGGCCTGTGACTTTGAAAAGAGGAAGCGGTTGCTGTTGTACCTGACTCCACTGTCAAGCACAGGCCACAAAAATGGGGAGGAGGGGGGAGAGCCTGCTTATATATATATAACTGGGCTAGAAAGCCTGCAGGGCTTGGGTGTGGCTGTTTCCTTTTTGCTTGGAGAACCTAGGCTCAGAGCCCCCTGCAAACCAGAGGTCAGAAAGGATAAGAGTTCTGGATGGGCCGCTGTCTAAGCCTGTCCTCATTCAGCCTGTGGGCTGTGATGTGGTGTTGCTGACAACACTGCAAGTGTTCTTTCTAACCCAAGTGCTTTGTAAATCTAGGATTTACTCAGTGGTGTACTGGCTTAGAAGATCTGAGCTGCTCTCTCTTTTTCTAAAAAGGATTCATTCCAGTTGGCTTGCTTTAGACTACATTGCACAGCAGTGAATACCAAGCAGTTCTGGCAGCCTTTCTCAAGAACAGGCCCCCAATCTTATAGTCCATTCTTTGTCTCTGGGAGAGAGAGAAAAGCGCTAAACGGGAGTGTTGGGACCGCACCATTGCCTAATGCTAGTTCCACGTGATGTCAGCTAGGGTCCAGAATTTAAAGTGCCAAAGTCTGAATATGGCCTCTCCTAAAAGCCTTTGGCCTATATATTCATTGAAGAGTTGTCTACCCTGACATGGATGTTGCGCAAAATACATATATTATTCTTTATGCATCTAATTGTATACAACTCTTTAATAGATTAAATCACACTCAAATGCACTAGACCAGACCTGTAGAAGTTTCTCTGGATCCAGGAACATACAGTGGTACCTCGGGTTACATACGCTTCAGGTTACACACTCCACTAACCCAGAAATAGTACCTCAGGTTAAGAACTTTGCTTCAGGATGAGAACAGAAATCATGCCCCACGGCACTGCGACAGCAGGAGGCCCCATTAGCTAAAGTGGTGCTTCAGGTTAAGAACAGTTTCAGGTTAAGAACAGACCTCCGGAACGAATTAAGTACTTAACCCGAGGTACCACTGTATTAGATATTGGTTAACTGAATTCAGCTGTTTTCTGCTCTCTGTCTCATTGGCAATCTGCTCTTGGATGGAAAACATAATGAGGGAATCCTCTTACTAGGCTTGACAAAGCATCCTTTGTATAACTCTTTATGTTTAGTATTTAAATGACAACTTCTTTGTAACAAATGGCCCTTTGGTTGAAACAAGTGAATTTGTGTTTTTATATAATTTGAATAGAATTCAGAAAGATTTCAACGTGCTCATAATGATCAAAGTAACAATAAGCAATGACACAATTTGCAGCAGTATCTTTTTTAAGAAAAATGGATCCATAAAACAGTACTGAAGCAGCAAAAAAAAGAGATATCATCTGCTCCTGCTTTAGGTTTTCATAGACACTAAAATCCTGAGTACATTCACATTTTAGCCTGGTACAGTGGTACCTTGGGTTACATACGCTTCAGGTTACATACGCTTCAGGTTACAGACTCCACTAACACAGAAATATTACCTCAGGTTAAGAACTTTGCTTCAGGTTGAGAACAGAAATCGTGCGGCAGCGGCATGGCAGCAGCAGGAGGCCCCATTAGCTAAAGTGTGGTGTAGAGTGTGGAGCCAGTGTGGTGTAGTGGTTAAAGAGCGGTGGACTTGTAATCTGGTGAACTGGGTTCGATTCCCTGCTCCTCCACATGCAGCTGCTGGGTGACCTTGGGCTAGTCACACTTCTCTGAAGTCTCTCAGCCTCACTCACCTCACAGAGTGTTTGTTGTGGGGGAGGAAGGGAAAGGAGAAGGTTAGCCGCTTTGAGACTCCTTCGGGATAAAGCGGGATATCAAATCCAAACTCCTCTTCTTCTAAAGTGGTGCTTCAGGTTAAGAACAGTTTCAGGTTAATAATGGACCTCCGGAACGAATTAAGTACGTAACCAGAGGTACCGCTGTACTTAAAAACTCACAAAACTGAGCACAAAGCAAGTAGCTCTGGGGTGGGGAGTATTCCAGAGTTGAGAGACCACCTCTGAGAAGACCTTTCCCTCCTTGAGGTAACCTGGACCTCATGATTTTAATGCTTAAGAAGCAGTGCTTTGAATTCTGCCCAGAAAGGGGCAGCAAGTAGGTATAGCAGCCTGAAGACGGGCGAGATACCTTCTCCAAACAAGTAGACTGGCTGATACATCTTATTCTGTGCTGAGGTCCAGAAACCTCTAAAGCAGAACACAATCTAAATGTGCTCATTGGCTTGATTCAATCTTTTCCCCAGTGCCTCCTGGGGGGCTTACGGATTCCAAGATGCCAATGAGCCGGGATGGGCTTAAAGATGTGTATGCATTCCTTTGCATGTTCTTGATGGTCCCTGCTACGTGATGCCAGTTCCCTACCTGGTAGCTCATGCATTCAGATGGCTCCCCTGATAGTGGTGGTCTGGGATTTGTGCCCTCTTGGCATTAACCACTTTACTGTCTTCCCAGATGCCCCACAATCTCCAGGCAGCCTGAGCCGATCAACAGCTACCAAGAACCGCATTGCTGGCCTGGAGAAGCAGCTCAATATTGAGCTGAAGGTGAAGCAGGGAGCAGAGAACATGATACAGATGTATGCCAACGGTGCTGCCAAGGTATGTGGATGTTCGCTGGCTGGCTGCCTCCTCTCCTGCCCTGAACTTAGCTAGTCCCTGCATGCTCAGCCACTAAAATGCAAATATACCAGCAAAGCTGCCAGATGCAGAGCTAGACCATTGGTCAACCTAGCTCAATGTTGTCCTTTCTGACAGGCAGCAGGTTCTCTCCAAGTTCTTTGGCAGAAAGCCTTTGCCATACCTGCTACGCAAGGTGCTTTGAACTATGCAAGTATGCTAGCCTTCTCGCCTCTAGCTGCCTCTTGCTTCCAGCAAAGCCAGAATGGCAGGCTGGTTGCATGTATAGTTGCAAAAGAGGGAAAGTTCCTAGATAATAACATCAGCAGGTAATTCCTGCTGGTCCAAGTACATATTTCCTATTAGACCATTAGTAAAGCTTTCTGAGTAAACTCTTATGCTATGGCTGTATGTCTTACCGTCAGCTGCAAAAAACATCTAAATATAGTTGCTCTATTAAGCAGTGCCGCATACGGTTGCACCAGGAAAATTTTGGTCCAGATATCACATGCAGTTACACATTTTCATACGATCTCGTCCTTGGGACCAAGATGGCAACAGTTGACTGAACTGATATGAAAATAACATTTTTGTGCACCTGAACTTTTGAGGGAGGCAGGCGCTTCTGTGGATGATTTTGGCGTCTTTGTTATCAGGGTCTCAGGATTGAAAAAGAAAAAGTTGGGTGGGATTCAGTGTAGTGCAAAGGCAAACATTCTGTCAGCACAAGAGTTTCTTCTTGCTGAACAGAATGTCCCCGTCCCCCATGCAATTCAAAACTATTCTAAGGATTCCCCCAACCCTCTGGAGAAGATCTGGGGACAGGGTGAAGCGCACTTGGAGGAAGGAAATGAAGGACAATCCAGTTGCTCAGGTGGACATTCCGCTTGCGCAGTTATTTATTAAAATACCACTTTCAAAATTGCTGCGATTGAGTTTTCTGGTTTTAAATATTCACATTGGAAACCACTTTTGTTGAGGAAGCAGACTGGTTACTTAAAGGGATTCTGTAGCTGCTTCTGTTTTGAGGCTTACCCCATAGACTGGATGCCTAGGATGTGGTTCAGTATGCAGAAGAATAGGACATGATACCTCTAGGTTTAGGAAGCATGGGTGTGGGGGGGGGTTCTTCTGTTATGGCTAGGGACTGATGCTCTGAGAGCCAGATGGGCAGGCTTTGCCCTTGGATTGGGATGCATTCTAATGACTAATTCTCTCCTGCCGTCCCTGCTAATCCCACCCCCCACCTGGCCTGCCCCCTAGGATCGGAAGCTGCTGCAGACAGCCCAGCAGATGCTACAGGACAGCAAGACCAAGATCAATATAATCCGCATGCAGATCCGCAAGGCTATGCAGGCTGACGAGGTGCAGCTGAATATGGAAGATGGGCAAGGTGAAGGGGAGGATAAAAAAGAAGGTCCCTGTGGCCAGCAGGCTGCTCTGCAAAATCCAGTGTCCCTTTCTCCCACTTTTTAACCTTTAAAGAGCCCTTCAAGAGCTGGAGAATGTCTGGAGCTCATCCTACACTCGAGTGGCATGTTCCCTCCCTCCTGGTTGATCGTTCAGGAGCTTCAAAGCTTTCTTCAGCCCAAACATTACAGCGACCGATGCCAACAGACATCGGCACACTTAGGGATCCGCAGAGTCTTTGCAGCTTGCATAACAGATCTCAGCAACTCAGCATTTTGGCTAATCTACTTTATTTACATATAAACACACACAGAGCACTGCAACATGGCTCCCCCTCTCTCTCTAGCATCAGACAGCAAAGAGAAAAAGAACAAAAGACAATAGTCCCACTTCACGGAACACAGTACCACAAACATCCTGTCTCCGTCACTTCCCACTCTGTGGAGTCAAAACATACACTGTCATGTGATAGACAAGAATCCTATGACTGCAGTCACGGAGCAGGAATTCTAACAGAGAATGTCCCCTGGAGCAATTTGAAAAACCTCCACCTGGTGCTGGGGAACCTCCCCCCCCCCATGCCTGGGATGCATGTGTTCTGGGTTCCCTCCACAATTAATCCTGCCATCTCTGATGCACATAGCAGATGCCTGACGCCCATCCTGTTACTTGCAGGTAACACTGACCTGAGCACCATCGAGTTGAGGATCGAAGAGCTGCGGCACCACTTCCGGGTGGAGCACGCCGTTTCTGAGGGGGCCAAGAATGTGCTGCGCCTTCTGGGCTCCACCAAAGTTCAGGACCGCCATGCCATCTCTGAGGTAATGGGCGCTTTGCTCAGCTGTGGGGGGAGGCAGGTCTCATACGGTCCGATTATATACACTCACACGTACGTATGCATAATTATAAATGGTTTGGGAATTGTAAACGGGTCCTTTCCCTAGAACTACTATAAGCAGCTAATAGGGTTGAAATCAGCCAAGCTCCTCTCCCTATTCCCCCCCATCCTGGCTTAGGTTTCCTCTTGCAGCATTCACTATTAATGAAACTGTCTAGGGGAAACAAGCAGACCATCTGTTTGTCACAGAGGTGGTGGCAGGTATCATAATTTGCAGAGTTTCCATAAGCAGAGTCTGGCAGGAATCTGAGATAAGTTAAAAGGTCTGGGACATTCACTTGTCCTTCTTGACTGTTCTACGGTTCCCTAGCCTGTGACCTGTTGCATCCAGTTCTACTTGCTGCTGAAATTAGGAGTGGGTGGGTTATTGTATTTGAGTCGCCCAGCTGCAAGCTCTGCTACTGAGATGTGACTTGGGATGTTTGTGAATTAATGAGTACTGTGCCTCTGTGTCATCGTTCATATCCCAAGAAGGCTGTGGTATTAGTACAAGGTTGGGAAATGGGGTGGTGGATGGAATGCCCATCAGTGCCATGTGTAGGATGTAGCCATATTTGTCCCTGGCCGTTTTAGGCACAGACTAAGCTGAATGAGTCAAGCCAGAAGCTGGACCTTTTGCGGCACTCCCTGGAGCAGCGTCTAGCTGAGCTGCCTCAAGATCACCCAAAGGGCTGCCTCATCAAGGAAGAGCTCATCCTGGCATCCTCCCCGGCCTTCAGTGCCCGTAATACCACTTCCTACCAGCACAACCAATACAACACCCTCTCAAAGCCATCTCCACTCACAGGTAACTATGGACTTAGCTTTGTTTGGGGTGTCTCCAAAGCCCTCCCAGCTCACCACTGCTATTTTTTTGTGGGGTTTTCTGCAGTATTCAGCACTGTCCACTCCCTAAATGCCCCAGGGCTGTCCATAGTTAGCACCTCTCTAATTTGCTCAAGACTCCTTCCTCGCCTCACTCTCTCCTTTCCCTTACCTTAGTAGTGGGAGAACCCTTGCTCTCTCAAACCCTTAAGAAGACTCCAGGGAGTTGCTCTGCTTTGAATGCTCCTGAGCAGGGCCTGCTGGACCTTCCCCTTTGATCTGTAGTCTCTCTTGTTGATAGGGATGCTGGAAGTACAGTTGTTGGGCTGCAGCGAGCTGTTGGAATATGTCCCAGGACGCACCCGTGGCTCCACTGTCTCCCTGCCGTGCAACAGCCCTGGTGAAGCGCGGCCATCTTTCATGAGCCGCAGCGGGCGAGGCCTGTACAGCCGAAGCGGCAGCGTAAGCGGCAGGACCACCATCAAATCAGAAGATAATAGCAGTGAGTAATGGGGGGTTGGGGTTGGCAGGCTCTAAACTGGGCGAAGGGTCAACTGAAAGAAGGGAGACCTTCTAGCACAACTAGTTCTACATGGGGGTCTGTGGTTCCTGTCTTTCTCTCAGCGATTCAGTCAACAGGATTCAGGTGGAATCCTTCTACTGTTTTTTCTCATTGATCTCTAATTTAAGAGATTTTATTTTTATTTTTTAAATTGTCCAGTAGCACCTTAGAGACCAACTAAGTTTGTTCTTCATATAAGCTTTCGTGTGCATGCACACTTCTTCAGATACACTCATAAGAGATTTTGTTCGCTCTGCCATCATCTGCTGAAGAATGTCAACAGTAAGTTGGGTATCTGAAGACGCATTTCTTTTCTCTGCTGTCCTTTTCCTGGTACCTGACATGCTGAGTGTTGGGACACACACCCTGTTTCCTGCTTCACTTTTTAAGAGTTAACACTTCTGAACTTGTTCCCCTTTCTTACTTGCTGTCCGTCGCTTTTCCAGCTTATCGGTACTCTTCCTCTTGCAGATGAGGTGAGTGCTGTGCTGAAGCTGGATAATGTAGTTGTCGGCCAAACGGCCTGGAAACCCAGCGGCCTACAAGCCTGGAACCAGACTTTCGCAGTGGAGCTGGAGAGGGTATGTGGAAAGATGCATCCTTCCATGATTGGGTCACAGGGGGTCACCAGTTTTATAATGGAAAAAAGACCCCTGCGTTTGCTATCCTTTTGGGAAAGGAATGGAAGCTGGCAATCACATTCATACCCACTTAACTTGCTGTTGGCCCCCTCTTCTCAAATAACACTCCCAATGTCAAATTATAACTTTGTGGAGGAACGAGAGAGTTTATCAGGACTCATACACTGATATAAAAGAGGAATTTTGTTCATTTGTGCATCTCAAGGACATAGCAAGGGTCAGTAAGATTCTTTGCTCTTTGTACTCATCAAGCAGTAGACTGGTCAGCTATAGCTCTGGCACCTTTTGTGTCGTATTGCTAAACTGTGCTTCATACAGAGAAAGGTGGTGAAGGTGTGTTGTTCCCCCAGTGTCAGTTTTGATTGAGCAGTTGTGGGTACAATGTAGAGTCAAAGCCAATAAGCTGTTGCCTTTTAAAAATAAATAAATTATTTCCCTTCCTCTCAGGCACGAGAGCTCGAGATTGGTGTGTATTGGCGTGACTACCGCAGTCTCTGTGCCCTGAAATACCTGAAGCTGGAGGATTTCCTTGACAACCAGCGCCATGAAATCCACCTGGAGTTGGAGCCACAGGGCATTCTCTTGGCAGAGGTAATAAAAAAGAGTGGGCAAACTGGGCAGAACTGGGAGCTGAACATCTAGAGATCCAGCTAGTCAGATTTCTTAGCAGAATGCTCTTAGATAAGATGGGAAATGCCAAAACACAAGAGTTATGTGATAATAGCAGAAGAAATACAACCCCATTTTCGCTATCATTTTTGTGAATATTAAGAAAGTCCTCAAAATAATTCCTATTATTATTCCTCCTATAGAGTCTAAGCACTTGCCCAGTGTACTGTTAACATGCAGCCCTTTGTAAAAGTGGAAGTTTCCTATAAGCAGCAATACATTCTCCCTATATTGGCAGAAATGACCCATGCTTTGTTAATCTCTGTTTTTTATTTATTTAGGGTTGAAATATATATATATTTCTGGGAAATTCCCCTGTTTGGTATTTAATCATATCTTCCGGAATATTTTTCTCAAGTGAACATGGGTGTCACTGTTTCACGTTGCTGGATTGCAACCAGCACAAGCATTGCACTGAATTTTTAAAATTGTCTACATAATTCCAAAGCAGACTCTTTAAGTTGCGTGTGGGTTTTAATGTTGGTCTCCCCCTCCCCCCATCTATAAAGTGCTTTGATATGATCCTTAGGAAAATGCAGTTTACCTACAACGAAAGCACCACTTTGAGAAAATACATTTAGCATGTGTACGGTTACTGTGAACATGCACAAAGAAATCCGCCTGGAAAGGCTTTGTTCTTTTTCTGAAGCATTGCATCTCATTTGGATGCTAAAATATGGAATGTTCGTTACAGGGACAATCAACAGACTGCTATCTCTTTCAGTGCCAATTCAATTCCTGTGGGATAGTTTCCTCCCACAAAGATTTCATGTTGAGAAAAAGAAGTCAAAACACCTCCAGCTTCTGTTTTGTCTCATTTTGACAGGATGAAAGAATGATCTCCAAACCATTTATTCCAGCCTGGAAACAGTGTTGGTGAACCTTGAATTAGCATGGGGTTAGCGAGGAGATAGATGTTGCCTCTCTATAGGTTTTCGGTGCACTGCCAAAACCATTTTTATTTCAGTGAGCTGTCAGTGTGGTTTAATGCTTTTAGCTCTTTGCTTTTAAACTTGTTTTGATCTGCTCTTATTTATATGGTGCTGTTCTTCATAATCATCAGATTGTCTCCATTGTATTTGTTTTGATATGTTATTAGTAACTTTGCGAGCCACTTTGAATTTATTTGTAAAGAAAATCAGGGTAGAAATTTCTAAATACAGTGGTACCTCGGGTTAAGTACTTAATTCGTTCTGGAGGTCCGTTCTTAACCTGAAACTGTTCTTAACCTGAAGCACTACTAATGGGGCCCTAGCTAGCTAATGGGGCCTCCTGCTGCTGCTGCGCCGCCAGAGCACAATTTCTGTTCTCATCCTGAAGCAAAGTTCTTAACCCGAGGTACCACTGTAAAACGAATGTTGTAGAGATCTAAGACCTTACACTCTTACACTGGTACTTATGGAGCTCTGATTTTTCTGACAGTGCTTGGCTGTCCCTGTTTTCATCCTCATGACAGGGCTGGGCAGTGGGGAAAGATTTAAGTTTCTCTGTCCAACATTGTGATGGGAAAGAAGCTGAGGCTGGTGAAGAGACTCTTGGGCTGGGGTATAGTTTAGATCAGAGCTTTCCAAACTGTGTATCGCAACATGTTAATAAGTCGGTGTGTCACATGAATGCTCCCCAAGCCCCTCCTGGGGCTGGAAATGGGTTTGTTTAACCTTTGGTTTGCTAGTAAAACTGAATTACTGTGTCATGAAATGATGCGTGTCAGTGCATCACTGACATGGAAAGTTTGGAAAGCTCTGGTTTAGATGGTTTTGTGTTATTGATAATAATTTTTCATATGTTTTTAGATCTTACTATGATTTATGTGGAAATGGTTCAGTTTGGTTGTGTTCTTTCTGATGAGTTTTATTTATTGCTTAGGACTACTTTTGTTATGTTTGTAATTCTGCAAATGCTTTCATGTTGTAAGCCACTTTGAGCATGATTTTTACTATGTAAAGGTGGCCTACAAATAAAATGGTGGTGGTGATGATGATTTGCACGGATCACCTGATGGGAGTGTGCACGCCTCTGTCTGCCTGCATGAATGTGGTGTACATGTGTGTGTTCAGGAGTGTGGGAAGGCCCCACCCAGCGCTGGCCTAGCAGCCCCTGGAGTGGTTGCCCTGGGGCTGAGAAAGGCTAAGCCCCTCCCTCCTGCCCCAAGGTGGAGACGTCTTCTATCCCATTCTATGTGGGTGTGCTTTATAACCTACCCTAACGGCCTCAGCCTTGAGGCTCTTTTTGCAGTAGTGTTCATAGCAGAAATTATCGCCCAGTGTGCAAACTCACCCTTGACTAGGTTATGTCATTTTCCCCTGCTGCAGGTTACCTTTTTCAACCCTGTCATCGAGCGCATACCCAAGCTCCAGCGGCAAAAGAAGATCTTCTCCAAGCAGCAAGGTAAGGGCTGGGTGAAAACGCCTAAAGGGCAGGCAGCATCTTCGCCACCCTAGCCTTGCCTGGTTTTCTTAGGTGCTTTCTTAACACACATTGTAGAAGGATTGATTCAATCACGCATCCTTCTGCCAACAGCTTAGCTCAGTGTTTCCCAACCTTGGGCCTCCAGCTGTTTTTGAACTACAATTCCCATCATCCCTGACCACTGGTCTTGCTAGCTAGGGTAGGGATGATGGGACAGCTGGAGGCCCAAGGTTGGGAAACACTGGCTTAGCTCACAGGTAGCCATTGTTGTGTCCTCCAGGTGAATGATGGGAGTTGTAGTCCAGCAGCAGCACATTGGGTAACCCTGGGTTAGTTTGGGAGAAGAAAGCAAGCTGTGTTGCTGACTATGTACAGTGGTATCCACCTAAGGAATCCTATTGGTGCAAGCCTTGTGTGAGGGCTTCCACAATGTGGCCTTCCTCTCCTATCCTCCCCTGGCACCCCCTGAAATTGACTTGTGGGGTTTCTCTTCTCTCCCCCCCCCCCCGAAACAGTGCATGGGGGAAGGAGGAGAGGGAGATCATTCTGACTGGCAATCTGCAGTGTTTGCACTGGCAGGATGTGCACCATAGTGCAACATTCCAAATGGCTAGAACCTGGGGCCACCCAGAGAATCTGATTGATTCAGAAGAGAACAGATTTCTTCATTACACATCGTTAACCTGTGGATGCACTTCCATAGGATATGGTGGTCGCTTTGAAAGGGAATTAGCCTTGTCCTCAGTTTGTTTGGCAGCCAGCTGCTACTAGGTAAGGGACCCCTGACCATTAGGTCCAGCCGTGACAGACTCTGGGGTTGCGGCGCTCATCTCGCTTTATTGGCTGAGGGAGCCGGCGTACAGCTTCCGGGTCATGTGGCCAGCATGACTAAGCCGCTTCTGGTGAACCAGAGCAGTGCATGGAAACACCGTTTACCTTCCCGCTGGAGCGGTACCTATTTATCTACTTGCACTTTGACGTGCTTTCGAACTGCTAGATTGGCAGGAGCAGGGACCGAGCAATGGGAGCTCACCCCGTCACGAGGATTCAAACCATCGACCTTCTGATTGGCAAGTCCTAGGCTCTGTGGTTTAACCCACAGCACCACCCATGTCCCCAGCTGCTACTAGATGCTGCCCCCAGGTTCAGAGCAGAGCCAGAATACCAGTTGTGAAAACAGCAGTGGAAGAAGGCGATTGTCCTCATGTGCTGCTTGTGGGCTTCCCTGGGGTTGTCTGGTTGGGCCCTGTTGGAAACAGAAGGCTTGCTTTGATCCAGCAGCACTCTCAGGGTTTATGGCAGCTTGTGGTCTGACATTTCTCCCCCAGGGAAAGCTTTCTTGCGCGCCCGCCAGATGAACATTGACATTGCCACTTGGGTGCGACTCCTGCGGCGCATCATCCCCACAGCCAACACCACAGGCACTTACAGCCCTTCGACGCAGATGACCCCAACATCTGGCTCCGAAAGCAGGCACAGCCTCAACTCTGGGTAGGTGCCCACTGGACTGGGTGGGTAAACAGCCTGTGCAATAGGGAAACACAAGTTCTTTTATATTGTAGCTCCCTTTTTTTCTTTTGTTGCTAGGGTCAAGGAAGGCATGGGCAAACTCCAGCCCTCCAGATGTTTTGGAACTACAATTCCCATCATCCCTAGCTAACAGGACCAGTGGCCAGGGATGATGGGAATTGTAGTCTCAAAACATCTGGAGGGCTGGAGTTTACCTATTCCTGGGTTAAGGAAAGAAGGGAATTTGAGGGGAACGATACGTTTGAAGGGGCAATGTTGAGGTACCCTATTCTCGGTTGGACACTAGGGTACCACCAGGTGGGTGTTGTTTAGCATTATAAGAATATCTTGATTGCACTTGTTCTCATTTGTGGCTGTGCCATAGCCATGCAGGTTTCTAGACCCCTTGACAAATCCCTTCCAGGGCCCAGTTCATAAAGCAATCAAGAGCTCCCCCCCTCCCAATAAGCACTTGTCTTTCTCCAAGACACAGAGATGTTCTCCTGCAGGTCTAGCTCTTGCCTAGGCTACCTAGAGTGCTGTCAGTGTGATGCTGAGGCCTGGAGGCAGTGATCTGGATGCAGCTTGCCTCCATTTCTTACTCAACTGCAACCCCATGATGTTATTGCCTGGGATTCTCCAGAATGGCATTTTCTCCTTTTCTCCAGGGACATTGCCATTGAGAAGCTGAGCTTGGATGGGGACAGAATTCAAATCGAGCAGGTGGGCCAGGATGACAGTGAGCTTCCTGGGAAGGTCTTGTTGGTAAGTGTCTGTGTTCTTCCCCTTCTTTCATCTGTCTGCCCGGAAGTTGCTCCCTTGTCTGCTCCTCTGTCATGAACAGCAGCGAGTTGCCTTAATCTGCCATTTGCAGATGCCTCTAATTTGTTTGTGTGCTTGTCTCTTCAGACCTCACAAGTTGGGGAGGAGATTCCCTTCCAGGTGGAGCTGGGCCCCGGAGGGGAGGCAAGAGGATCTGATGGTACTTTTCACAGGTAGGGGGCAATCATTATTCCCCCTCCCACTCCACATGCACCCCCTATATGCAGATCCTTGCTCACCTTCTATGTCATATACACACTTCAGCTGCACCCCACCTCCTTACCGTGTTCTAACCCTGCCTCCTAAAGTGGCTAACTTCAGTCTATACTGCAATGAAAGCTTAGTTGTGGCTCATCCCTTGCACGGGTTCCAACATTTCTTGACCTCTTATTTCCAGCAGTTACTTCGGTTTGGGAGATAGCAAACATAATATATTGTTGTCTGGGGCGCATGCCTGGAATGTGCACATGCAGATTTCACAAACCACTGAAGTTTTAAGTGTAACGCTATTGATACAATATGTCTTGCTTCCCCACCACCTTTCACAGTGCCCAAACTGTGGTGTTCCCTGTTGCAGAAACAGGGGGTTCTCACATGAGCTGACATTCATAGGTCCAAGTGTGGAGAAGCTCATAGTGTATGGGGGGGTTGGGGGGGAGGAGGAGAGAGGTATGGGCACAGCTTTCTCCAACTTGTTCTTTTTATCTCACAGCAGCCACCTGAGAAAAATGCCTCTCACATTGGATGACTTCCGATTTGTTGCTGTGCTGGGGCGTGGCCACTTTGGCAAAGTGAGTATTCTAGTAATTCCTCCTCAATACTTCTAGCTATCTTATATTCCTCCAAGAGGTGCATCAGCTTCCCCTCATCCTGAGAGGCATAAGGCCATCTGCTAGCGGGTGACTAGGGTCTGGAACCCTGGCTCCTCACTTCTTCTGCTTGAACCTCTCCCGATGTCCTAGTTCGCCTCTTCAGTGTCACAGAAATGTTAGGTGCTAGTTTAGTCACTGATCTATGCTGCCTTTCTTGTGTTTGCCTTGGGCATAGGTGCTGCTGTCTGAATTGCACCGCACAGGGGAGCTATTTGCTATTAAAGCCTTGAAGAAGGGTGATATCGTTGCAAGGGATGAGGTGGAGAGGTGAGTCTGTTCCAGCAGCCAAGGAAAGGCATGGTGCCAGGGGGGGCTGGAGCGCTATCCTTTTGGTGTCATAATAGTGCTAGTTTGGGATAAGACCTGAGTCTGCATCCCCATACTAGGCTCTGTTCCTGTTCCCTTGGCAGAAAGAGAAATGGTATTTGTAGGCAGCAGCTGAAAAAGCATGTTACTTCTCATGAGGAGCCATGGGCTTATGCAACTCCCAAGGTCCCCCAAAGGGGAGGAGGGAGCAGTTCTGGCCAGTTAAATGCCATTACTCCAAAGGTGCTGTAACCTCCCATGCTGTGTCTGTCTCTTTGCTCACTCCCATGGGAATACTTTATCCCACATGTGCCTGCCTCAAGTAGCACCAAGGCTCCCCACACCCCAGTATACATAAGGGTAAAATGCATGTATGCATTGAATTGTGTGGGAGTGGGAGCTGGGAGGGAGGCTGTTCCAATGTTGTAGATCTCTGCCTTCACAGCTCTGTGTCTTCCCAGTGAGACAGCCATGCATGCATGTGGATGCACACACACACACACACACAAGCAGCGAAGTGGGCATGCACAAATTGCAACTGTGAAGGCAACAGCCTGTTTTTTAGAGTGCCAGGCAATGTGTGGTTGTCGCCCATCCTGACATGGTTTCTCCCCCCCCCCTCCCTACTAGCCTGATGTGCGAGAAGAGGATCTTTGAGATCGTGACCCATGCGCGACACCCCTTCCTAGTGAACCTCTTTGCCTGCTTCCAGACACCCCAGCATGTCTGCTTTGTCATGGAGTACACAGCAGGCGGAGACCTCATGATGCACATCCACACGGATGTATTCACAGAGCCACGTGCCACGTGAGTTATGGGTCAGGGAGAGGGAGCATGCAGTGGAAAGGGGCTAGAGGCGTCCTGAAAGCATCTTGCCCATTGCTGTTTTGGGGTCACTTGCTCTCTTGCCAGCACACTGAGAGCCAATTAGGCAGGGATGCAGTGGGTGGCGAGTACGGCTTTCCAGCCCTATTTACTGTGCCTGTTACTGCACACTTCTCTTCTTGAAGCCTTCATGCAGTTCGTTAGTCATTGCTAACTAACCAGAGAAGGGCTGGTCATGGTCTCTCCCTCTCTTGCCCTCTGTAGGTTTTATGCTGCTTGCGTTGTGTTGGGGCTGCAGTTTCTTCACGACCACAAAATTGTATACAGGTAGGTAACGCCATGTGGGCCGCCATCCTGGTAAATTCATCCCCTCCCAGAGTCTCTTCTACACTCTTCTGTGTTGTCTTTTTGCTCTGTGCTTCTTGATATGTGTTATAGCATAGGAGGGTGTTGTTCATCTGCCTATGCACCGTGGGATAATCGTGGTGTCTCCTGCCAAACAAAGAGCTGTGGAATACGATACAGGATTCCTGTGTTACAGTGCAAGTTCAGTTAACCCTGTAGCTCCCTTCGGTGAGGTTGGCTGATAGTTTCTGCAGAATGCAGTGGTTCTCTCTGCCTAAAATTCTCTTGCCCTGCAGGGATCTGAAGCTGGATAACTTACTGCTGGACACAGAGGGTTTTGTGAAGATTGCAGACTTCGGCCTCTGCAAAGAAGGTGATTGTCTGGGGTGAGATGGATACCTCCACGGTAGGCATAGGATCCTCTAAAATGGGGGTAGTGAACCCACAGCCTGCAGGCTGTAAGATATTTTAATGGCCACAGAGACCGTTCTCCACCCCCCGCCCCCCTGCCCGACATTTGACATTTTCAGGATTTTCCAGAATTTGTTAAAGCACTTTTTTTCCAGAATTTTGCAGATTTACCTTGTGGCCTTGCTTGGATGCATAGTTATTGCACTTAATTATTTCTTAAGTCTTTGCAGTCCTTAAGTATCACTAAAACTCCTTAGACAGAGTGATTCTGCAGCTCTCAGTAACTTTTGTCCCAGGCACTTCCTGTAGCTTCACGCTGACACCTAATGAAGAGATATAATCTCTGCTATCGATCTCGAGAGCAGCCAAAGCTTGAAGCTGCAGAATGCATATCTTTTCATTGGTGCCAAGCTGCAGGAAGTGCAGTAGCACTTCTTCCCTCGCCCCTGCATTTATTCCTCTTTTTATAGTATACTGGGGGGAGGGGGAGAGAGAGAGAGATACATTTGGATCTGCCAGCCTGTCCCCCCTTCAACTGAGTGTGTGTGTGCCTGCTTTGTTTTGTGTGTGTGTGTGTGTGCCCCCCAACTGTGTGTGTGTGCAGGCTGCTTTTCATCTTCTCTCCACACCCCCGAGACTGTATGCACTATGTGCTCCACAGGTGTGCACATGTGTCCGAATGTGAATGTATGTGCATGCTGGCTTGCAGCCCTAGGCCCTCAACCTGAAAAATGTTGACCGCTCCTGCTCTAAATCAAAATGCAAACGAAGTACAGCCTTGTAGAAATGATGCCAGACTAAAACAACTGCCCTAGTAGGCACTAAACTAATCTACAATGATCCCCAAAAGACCTGGATGGTGGGGAGCATGTAGAGGGGAGGAATGGACTGTTTTGCTTAAGCTTTCTTAGCCCAGTTCTCCACTGTAATGTGAAATCCTCCAAATCCTGAAGGAGAATGTGCTTCATCTATCCCTTATTTCAAAAGTCCCCCTCAGATGTTTCCAGATGTTTGTCCCTCCCTGGCAGGCACTTTGCAGAGGGCTGTCGGTGAGGGAACATGTTAATAACCACTTTCTTTTGCTCTGTCAGGGATGGGCTATGCTGACCGTACCAGCACCTTCTGTGGGACTCCAGAGTTCTTGGCTCCTGAGGTGTTGACAGATACATCATACACAAGAGCCGTCGACTGGTGGGGCTTGGGGGTCCTTATCTACGAGATGCTTGTAGGGGAGGTGAGTCCCACCTGTTTGACTGAGGAAAACAGCGAGTTGAGTGCAAGAGACCAGGATTTTATTATTGGCAATCAAGCACAGGATTTTGTGGGGGGGGGGGTTGGGGCAGAGGGGTTGCGCACACAGAGAGAGAGAGTGCGTGCAGAAGAACTTGGATGTTTTGGGTGACATACGACCATTGGCCCATCTTGCTCAGTAATTGCCATGGTTCCCTGGGAGTCTCTCCAAGTCCCACCTGGCTAGGCCAGGCATTTAAACCATTGCAAGCAAGATATTCTCCCACTGAACTGCAGCCGTTCCCAAGGAGGGATATTAAAGAGGCCTCGTTCTCCACAAGAGCCTAGGAAGAGCATGGTTGGAAGTTCTGTGGGCTAGCACTGACTTGAGAAGAGTTTCCTATACAAGGCCATGTGAGCCACCTAGGTGTTTTATTCTCACTGGGGCATGGGTGGTGGTCCAGCACAGATGAAAGTGAGGGTGTCCTGCTGGAGTTCATCCTAAGGGATGCCCAGAGGAACAGGTCACCAATGACGCCCTTCATCTACTGATCCTGCCTCGATTGACTTTGTAGTCCCCATTCCCTGGAGACGACGAAGAGGAAGTATTTGACAGCATCGTCAATGACGAGGTGCGCTACCCCCGTTTCCTTTCCTCGGAGGCCATTGGCATCATGCGCCGGGTAAGTCTAGGGGGTCGTCCCCCCCCAGTCTGGGCTGGAGGCTTGCCAGAGTCAAATAGGGTGGGGGTGGTTCCTACTTAAGGGAGCGTAGGCTGTAGAGAACAAGGGGAGGGTTTGGGGGCCTTGAGCACAGTGGAGCACCATTCTTTTGCAAATTATTTCAACCCACCCCAGGCCTGAGCATGGGCCGAGCATGAGCCCAATAGAGCACACTCTTCTCCATCACCCCAGGCTTTGGGAGAGACTGTGGAGGGTAGGAATAGGTTAACAGCAGCTTTGCTTGCTCACAGGGAAGCCTGGTGCTATGATCTCTCTCTTTCTCTCTCCACTCAGCTGTTGCGGCGAAACCCAGAACGTCGCTTGGGCTCTAGTGAGCGAGATGCTGAGGACGTGAAGAAGCAGCCATTCTTCAGGGTTAGTTTCTGTCTGTCTTTCTGCTTCTCCCAGATTCTTCCTTCAGGGTAATGCTGAGAGAGCCTCTGCCCCAGCTTCTTGGCATCTAAAATGCACCCACTGTGGGCCCGGCCTTCATTGGGACTATGCGGCAGCCTAATATTACAGCCGGGATGGTGCTTTTGTGATTACCCCACTTCTTCCAGAGGAGCAACCGTGTCAATCTGTCACAGAGAAAACAGAAAAAGAGCAAGACTTGTGGGTCCTTTTCTGAAAGGCTCAAGCAAATTTATTGTGGAGTTTTCATGGACCCAGAGTCTTGTCCCCATGCATCTGATGAAGGTCACTCTGGTCCTCTGTGATAAATATGTTCGTCTGCAAAAGGTGCTGCAGAGCCATCTCTCTTTCTCATGCATTTGTGGTGACCTTGTCTTTGTCCCCAAGACTCAAGTCTGGCTCTCGTCATGTTAGAGCTGTAAAGGATTACGGATACATTATCCTATTATGTGAAACACTCAAAACACATGCTGTGTAAAAGAAAAACCCCAGCATTGTTAGCTAGCGGTTTTCCTGTATCAAACCTGTACCAAGGAAGAAGCTGCTCCTTTCTCTACGCGCACAACAGCATTCCCTAGTGGTGTGCAATGGAGCAGCATGGAGCATGCACCATTTGGAAAGAGTGCCCCAGGCCTCATCCACACTGTACATTGAAAGCAGTATCATACCACTTTTTTTTTCTTTACAAAGTTGTTATTGTACTTCACCAGATCTTAACCTATTACAGTATAAGTCTTCAATCCAATCGTAGAAGGGAGCCGCATTTTTATTTTTCCAGTTCATTAGTATCAGTCTTTTTGCTGTGGTAAGAGCACGGAGAGTCCACTCATATTGTCCTTTTGTAAGGTTCTATGTGCTGGGCATATAATTCAAAAGGATATTTTGCTCTGTAAACATAAGGCTGTTCCGTACAGTTCTGTTGATAGATCTGCCAAAAATCTTTCAATATAGGACACTTGAAAAAATATGTTTTAGAGAAGCATTATCCCTATTGCATCTCCAGCAGTTAGATACCTTAGATAGCCCTTTTTTTAACAAACATAATGGGGTCCAGTATATTCTAAATAATATTTTTTGTTGTATGAGCCTCAATTTAAGGTCCAGAGACACCCTTGTTATAGCACTTAAAACAGTTTTCCACTGTGTGGTTGAAACTGAGATCTCTGGTTCTTTATTCATTCCTCCCTCAATCCCTGTATATCAAATTGGTTTGCTAGTAACAAAGATTTATATATGTTGATGACTGGGTTTTGTACCTCTTTAAAGAGTCCTGGCTCCTCAGGGAAGTGGAGTCTCTTAAGGGTCCTGAGAGTTGCTAGGAGACCCCCTCAAAAGATCTACAGTTTCCAGAATAGTCCAACAATCAGTCCCTCTTCCCAGTGAACTCTGGGAATGGTAGCTCTGTGAGGGGAACAGGGGTCACCTAACAGCTCTCAGAATCTCAGAACCCTTAACAAACTATAGCTCCCACGATTATTTGGGAATAACCGAAGCAGTATGGTACTGCTTTAAATGTGTGCTGGTCTATATTGCTGCTCCTGCTGCGTTGTCCGCTGTATCATTCCAGTACCATGCAGCTTCTCTCACAGCCCTCCATGGGATATTTATCAAAAGTCCCTGATGGTTTTCTCTCTCTCCTCACTCATCTCCACAGAGCATTGACTGGGAAGCCCTGCTGGCCCGCAAGATCAAGCCACCGTTTGTGCCAGTAGTCAAGGGCCGCGAAGACATCAGCAACTTTGACGAGGAGTTCACAGCCGAAGCGGCTATGCTGACACCGCCCCGTGAATCACGGCCCCTCACCCAAAAGGAGCAGGATGCCTTCAAGGACTTTGACTATGTTTCCAATGTCTGCTAGCTCTAGGAGTTGGGGGGCAAGGAGATTCCCACCCCCAAAGAAGAAAAAAACACACCACCACTGCCAGCCCTGTAATGGGGCAGGGCTCTGCTCCACCAGTGACTCGAGACGCTTGCTAGCCCTGCTGTTAGCTCTGCGAGTGGAGCTGGGACAGCCCAGCAGCACTGCCAACTTCATGGGTGTAGAGTTAACGTTCACCGACATATGCCAGCTCTGAGCCTAGACCGCGAAAGCCCCAGAAGTACTTCTGCACCCTTCAGGACACAGTATCATTCATGCAGACACTCAGACACTGGCTAGCTCTAGGGGAGGGGCAGAGAAAGAGATAGAAAGAAAGACGGCCAAGCCCAATAGAACAGACGCTGTTGGCCCCGAGACTTGGGCAGAGGAGTCTCTGCGATAGCATGTGCTTATCCACTGATTCCCAAACTGCCTGCAAAAATGAGCAAATAGGCTTTCCCACGAATAGAAATCCATAGGTGTTGGAGCCACAGAAGCCAAAAGGCCTTTCCCCAACCTAACAAATGCCTGAGATTTTTTTCCTTCCTTAAAAAACAAAATAATCTTCCAAAGATATGGCTTGCCCTTCTGGCGTTTTTGTTGAAACCCAATGTTTGGAACTCCTAACCCAGAAGGGGAAACCTTCTTTGTCCTGTTTTGCACCACTGTCTTGCATCTTTTCTCTAAAAATGTACTGTAAAGGTTTGGTGGTTCAAACTTCAGTGGTGGACAAATTCCCCTTGGCTCTATAATGGAACCGGCTCTGAATGTGTAAGCTTTTGGGAGGAAAGCTTGCCTGCTTTGGCCCCCCAGATTCTCTCCAGTTCATAACATTGGCACATGTGTGCTGACAGCGCAATGCATAGGTGCATTGTTATATTGCCCTTGCTGGGAATCATAGAATGGTTTCACCTGCCCCAGTGCCAGCCATGGCAGAAATTCAAGCACACAAACATGCCCTGAACAAATTCACCTGAGGCCAAGGGGGGGTTTTAGGTCAAGATAAGCGGGGGGGGGGGAGCCTTCTAACGTGCTTGCAAGAAACAGTCAGGATCGTTGATTGACCCAGGTAGAGGTGACACTTGCCAAACGAAAGGCTGCTTGGTTGGGTGGGCTTGGTCCACGTAGATTACAGCAATCTACAAGAGCTTGTTTCATCATGAAGTAGCAGTTAACATTAAAGAACTTCTGTGCCTACTAAACAGCAGCTGACTTCTGGCACTTCTTCTGCCAACTGCTGGCCATGCACACTCCTGTTTAACATACAAAGCTGGAGAGGAACTTCTCAGGAGGAAACAACACTTGATTCATAATCCAGCCAAGTATCGCAAGCTAGACAGAATAGTTCACTGAGCCCAGGTAATAATGAATTTCAGAAACATTTATTAATTCAAATCTACCACTTGGAAATCACCATCATGTCTTAATGTTTTGTTGTTTCCATCACATGTCCCAGCTTTCGCAGCAACATCTGCTAGCTGCCATTCTAAGGGAGCGCATCTCACGTAGGAATAGGTGATTGTTTGGGAACTCCACCCCCATATTCCGCTCCTGGTTTGCTTTTTATTTTGGAGGGTAGCTTTCTAAAAAAAAACCAAAACCTTCCCCTTTTGAGTGCTGACAACATCCTCCTTGCCCTGCTCTGCTAGGGAGAAATTAGCTCACAGAAGGGTGAGTAAGGGGTTCTGCCTGGGCTTGAGCTTTGGCAGTTCAGAGAAAGGGGCAATGTGCACCTATAGGGAAGAGTTAGAGAACAGCCCTTGCTGGTGTGAGTGTGGCTCTGCCTGGGCCCCAAGCAAATTCTCTTATGAGTGCAAGAAGTTTGATGGAGGCAACATCTCCCCATTAGTGGTCCTTGATGGAAATATCCTGAGCATAAATGCTGCAGAGTTATGTTGCTTCTTTCTCCCTTAGATAAATCTGTCCTGAGTACTTTTTGTTCATTTCCTACGAATGTTCCTGAGATTCATTATAGATAGATAGATATTACATATTTTTTAAAATACTGGCAAACTCTTGCCTGGTGCTGTGAGCTGCATTCAAGATAAATGCTCTGTGGCTCATATCACATGACCGCTATGATACCCTTTTATATGTGATCAATTTGGCGTAGCTACTATTACCTGGTTCTCTACTTGGATTTCTAATGTTGATTAGTAACCCTTCCCCAACCTGGTGCTCTCCCAGTGTTTTGGATCACAACTCACATTGGCCTCCTCTAATACAGGTTGGCTTGGCCTGTTGGGAGTTGTTGCCATCAGGTTGTGGAAGACAGATTTAGAAGTTTCACTCTGCCCATAAGCCTATGTGAAAAGAATGAGGAAACCCACCTTTTTTACTACAGTACTCTCATCGGTTTCATGTATCAAAGGGTTATTGAGATCATTGAACACAGATTAGTTACTCTTTGAGTATGCATTCTTAAAAAGGCAAACCCATTTCTGTCTTTTTGGCCAGGAGGTTATAGCGGACATCTCCCTAGTGTATCAGCACAAGGGCTCAGGGCCTCCTTGTGCCTTCAGAACAGGGCAGGTTCCTGAACATACTTGCAGCCTCCTACTTACTTTCAGGGGATGTTCCTCTTATTTGCAGTCTTCCCCTATTTCAACTTCAGCTTTTACCAGGCTCATGCAATTCTGTTTTGAGACCAAAACACAGGAGTTGGGGGGCTATTTGAAGAAAGAACTGAAGGTCCCGTCCCACAGGGGTTGGAGGGAGAGAATTCCAGCTTTGCCTCTTAAAGGGGTACCAAAGGGTTTTGTAAAAGTTGCTGCCGCAGGAGAACTAGGGCCAGGGTTTTGTATGGGGAGGGTATTGCTCTGCCCCTTAGTCTCTCCTGAACTGAAGCATATGTGGCTTCTTGAAGCAGCTTGCAGTTTGTTTTCTTCTTCATTCTTTTTTGGCCCTTGTATGTATATTGGATTCATGCTGGTTGATCTCCTTTCCTTTTAACACAATCGACAAATTTGAGCCTACTTGTCTTGAATTGCAGTGCAACCTGCTTTAAAGTCAGGGCTTTTTGTTCGGTCCTAGATTTGGGAGGGCTTGCTTTTAAGGCTTCTGTGTTTCAGCCTGTACTCTGGAAAGAGAGTAGTAGCTTCTGTTCCCAGATACACTGTTAACTTCCTCTGTGCCTCTTTGCTTGCATTGCCTCTTACATCTTTCACAGGGCTACGTCCAAACTTAAGTAGCTTTATGGATTTTGTGCTAGGAGACACCATCATGCTGTGGACTTGAAACTTCGTCTTGCCTACTGAGTCTCCTACCTTACTGTAACTACCTCTGTTGCCTGACCAGAATCGCACTGTGGCCACAAAATGCTGTCTGGATCTTTCACTTCTCTGCTTATATAAAGCTTGAGTTTTAAAGTGTAGACTTAGTCCTTAACATATTGGAGGCTATCTGACCAAAAGCCTTGCAAGTGAGCAAAGCTCTCCTTCGGGCGAAAGGCAGGACTCAGTTCTGTTTCCAGCCCTTCCATGAATTGGATCCAAGGTCTCTTGGGTTCCGTTCTTAACTCTAACACTGACTTTGTGGGTAAATTTTGGCAGAAGAGGGGTAGCTAATGCGGTGGGTGGTGGGTGGAGGAGGCTCTTATAGATAGTGTGCAATATTTGGATACGGAGCACCATGATTCCCAAGTCTTAAAACTATAGGCTGGAAAGGGGGGGAGTGTTGCAGTAAGCACAGATACAGTGGTACCTCGCAAGACGAAAAACTCGCAAGACGAAAGGGTTTTTGGTTTTTTGAGTTGCTTCGCAAGACGATTTTCCCTATGGGCTTGCTTTGCAAGACGAAAACGTCTTGCAAGTTTGTTTCCTTTTTCTTAAAACCGTTAATACAGTTGCGACTTGACTTCGAGGAGCAACTCATAGCACACGGTGTGGTAGCCTTTTTTGAGGTTTTTGAAGACTTTGGTGATTTTTGAAGCTTTTCCAAAACTTTTCCGAAACCGTGCTTCGCAAGATGAAAAAATCGCAAGACGAAAAAACTCACGGAACGAATTAATTTCGTCTTGCGAGGCACCACTGTAGTGTGTTCTGCAGTAAAGCAGTGAAACATTGGGGCAGTCTGGATTTTGGGGCTGTGTTAGCAAGCTTCAAATTTGATTCTGGACACAGACTCCAGCACATTAAAACCTCAGCTTTCATTTTCCTAAAATCAAGTTTCTAATTCTTAATGTCACAGTTATGCTCTTGAAAGCATGTCCGTAATGTCTTACAGAAATCTCAGAAGCCAAAGGAGAAGCGAAAGATTTCTAGTAACCCAGGCTTCGGTTTTCTGCATAGCTCTCTTTGCCTGTTCAAAGCAAGTAAATACATACAAATCTGTGTATTTTGTATGATCTATACAGCTCACAGAATTCAGCTTACCTTGGTGCAGAATCTTGATTTTAAGCACAGGCTCCACCCACATAGCCCTGGCTTAGTTTACTGTGGAGGGAGACCGAGAGTGCAGCAGGGGCAGAAAGTTCCACGTTCTGTTGCTCATTAGTGGGGACATTTTGGGGGGTGATGGTGGGGAAGTTGAAAGAATGGGTGCAGTTCTTCAATGCTGATTCCTCAGGGTCAACTTCCCTCTGGTTTTAAACCCCCTTGCCCCCTGCTGGGCTCAATTCTGTGTCCACTTTGTTTGGCTTACTCCACTATAGAGGAGAAATTAAAAGATTGCATCCCATGATTGTTTCCATCTTCAGTCATCCTACCATGCAAGATATGCTCCCAGCAGCCTTTGATTCCTCACTGGACCTTTGGCACCCTATTATTCTCGCAAATAGCATAATCAGATACCAGAACAGTCACTAGCAGGCTATCAGGATGTTGGGAGTAGAGTTGAATGAAAGGGAATCTTGCTGAAGTTGATTGTGTTCACCTTCCCGTCTCTGCCTACAAATGTGCTTGATCTGTGTACCTGGTTTATAATGCAAAGGGGCAGCCGGGATGACTTAGAGTCTTGTAGCAGGTGACTTTATGGTGATAGGCTAGTGTACAATGGCTTTATGCTATTGGCCTGTATTTCCTTTCATGTAAACTGTCCTTTTACTATTGGAGTTAACAGAACTAAATCAAACGAGTCTGCTTTCCCCCCCCCTACTAGACAATGCTACCTTATTCTAATGGCTGAAGCTAATTTTTCCAAAGTGTCACTAAGATAACATGGATTGCCATCTCTGTGGACATCATTCCTCTGTATATCATTCCTCCCAAGGTGGACAGCTTCATCTGCAACCTCTTGCTGGTACAGTACATTTCTCTGTAAAGTGTAGGGAATTAGCTAAAGCAATCAAGCAAAATAGCACACGTAGCCATTTCCTGTCACTGGCGGTTAGAAAGCCCCTTCTTCCCATGTGCCTCGGCTAAAGCACCTCCTTCCCTGTCCACCGCTGTACATCTGTGTGATATTGAAGTTGCCACTTTTGGAAAAATGTTTTCGGACCAATTTCATACCTGCTCACTCTGGTCTCCTTCCTAATGTGCTGTATTCTGTATACAGCTTGAGCTGTAGGATGATGGAAATTCACCGTTAGATTAAACTCATTTGAATCAATGAAGAGGTTGATGCCTAATCCTTAAAGATTTTGTCCATGTTGCAGGTCTGTAAATTATTAAGCCCTCCTGCTGTGATACCTCTATTGCACGACACACATCATGTTTTGGCAGTTATCAGCAGTGGGTGTTCAGAAGTTTCTTTGTGTCCTCTTTTCCTTTTTGCATATGACTTACTAAAGGAAAAACACAGAATTTATCAATGGCTTAATGCCCCAGCTAATCCATGCTGGGCCACCATTTTGAGTGAGTCATAAATGGCTTGAACTGGTTGTGTCAATAAGACATAGTCGCTACTGATATGGTGGCTTATAAGAGAGGGCAGTACTTTGCACCTGTAAGAGCTGCATAGAGGGAATTTCAGCAGGTGTGCTACATCCCTGTTAGCATTTCTTCCTCCGTGCAACTATTAAGGATGTTGGACCACAGTCCTGTTTTTCAGCAGCCCTGCTACCTGCTTTCCCACCACTGAAGTGAAGCCAAGTTATGTGTGTGAAGCTTTCATCTTCCTGCCTACTTAAAACTCTGCAGGACACTTCCAATAGGCTGGAAGATGAAAGCTTAAATAACCAGTATCCATACTGTGAAAAGGTTTAGGGGACGGTAGCGTGGCTAGACCACCTTGTCCTTTATATTTATGCTCTGGGGAGCACATGACTGACTTTTTATGCCCATTGTTAGTGTGAGGTAGGTGGAGATCTAGCCACCTTTTGACATGGAGCCCATTGCAAGAGGTTGTTCTTTTCTTTTTCTTTTATCCTCTTCAGAATCCAGCAAAGGTGAAAAAGTCAGATCTGCCTCTGCTTGCTTTAAGGGATGATGGCGCTTCTAGACAGGCGCTTAATTCTGTAAAGTGAGTCATTCATATATATCACACGCAGGCCACCGTTAACAGGTTATTTTTAGCATCAGATTTTCTACAGAATTTTTAAACCTTGATTAAGTGAGGGATAAAAATGCAGGCTGGCATTTTGATGCCATTGACGACATGTGGATGTTGCAAAGAAAGAAAGGAAAACTCAACCCTTGAATGCATGAGCAGCATCAGTTCCACAGTAAACACCACCTGGCAACACTCTTACTAAAGCTGGATGGGAGGAAAAAATGCTGAAGCACTGAAGAACTAGATTGCACAACTACTACTGTGGCTGCTTACTTGAGAAAAGGCAAGCGCTTGTTGGGAGTATAGATGTCAGTCCAGATTGGAGCAATTCAACAAGCATCGCATGGCGTGAGCAAAGCTTGGCAGCTTTGGTAAGAGGAATGAAAAACCATGAAACCTGCTATTCACTGGGGGTTCTTCAGATAACTCCAGGGTTGCCTCCTCACGTGGAGGGGGAATGAATGGTTATGAAGGGCTTTCTGACGACTCCCCACCACCCATGGCCAGTGCCACCCTTCAGATCCTTTTCTCCTTATCCTGGAGCAGGATGATGCCTTGTCCTCCCCACCCTTAAAAAGGGCTCTTTACTGATAATTAACTGTAGCAGGTACTGCTGCCACAGAGGCAACGGCAGTCTCACGGCTTTACAGATATGGAACAGCACATGTAGTAGAAAGTTGCAAGTATTTTGAAGTACAAAGAAAAAGTGGTCAAGCAGCTAAAAAGTATGGAAACATACAAACACAGCCATTCACAATATATTTCCACACGAGAACAGCTGCTTGGGGAGGTTTTTTTTGTGTGCCTTTACGGATATTCCCCATCACATTTTGCTTCTCTCTCATCAATACCCCATAGGACAATTTGCTTTCAAGTGTTAACTCAGGGGTCAGCAAACTTTTTCAGCAGGGGGCCGGTCCACTGTCCCTCAGACCTTGTGGTAGGCCGGACTATATTTTGAGGGGGGGAAATGAATGAATTCCTATGTCCCACAAATAACCCAGACATGCATTTTAAATAAAAGGACACATTCTACTCATGTAAAAACACGCTAATTCCTGGACCATCCATGGGCTGGATTTAGAAGGCAATTGGGCTGGATCTGGCCCCCGGGCCTTGGTTTGCCTACCCATGTGCTAACTTATAGGAATCCTGCGTTCGCTCTGGAGGCAACATCCCAGGAAGGTTGAGTTCCCCATCGGCAAGCAAGTGTAAGGGAGTACTAGTTCTAGACCAATCTTCCTTCTGCATTCAGATGATTCATCCTGAATAGTATTAGCATTGAAGCCATAGAAATTGGCATTAGAGCAGTAGCAAGGACTGCTGCTCATTCTCTGTAGTTGGGCAGCATGATGTCCACCCCACTCCTCACCCCAGCCATCCAAAAGGAGAAAGCACGGCATAAGTCTGTATCATTCCCTGAAAGAAACTTTAGTATTCACAGGTTTGCTGGAAAATGTTGGTTCACCACATCCCAAAGCGGACTGTGAAAAGACCAAAAGCACATAAGGAAACTGATTACTTGGAAGTTAAAGACAAGGATGGGAAATGTGTCACCCCCTCATGTTGCTGAAATCCAGCTCCCATCAGCTCCAGCCAACTCAGCCAATGGTCAGAGGTGGGAGGAGCTTTATCCCAGGAGTACATCCCATTGAACACAACAAGGCTTACTTTCGACTTGAATTCCCCTGGGACCGTACTATGCTGCACTTTGCAATGTGAATGAAAAAAAATACACAGGATTCTTATTCAGATTATAACTGCTTCCCATCCACACACATTTTCCTTTGCATTACAAATTATCACATGCTTGCATAAATTGCATAGCAGGGGCTCAAATGCAAATTTAAAAGTTCATGGAAGCATTCTGGGAGATGTAAGTTAGACCCACCCTCCTAAAACCTGTAAATGCTATGCCTTTAAAGCACATCCGAAACAACTTCTTTCCCTCAAAGAATTCTGAACACTAGTTTGTTAATGGTTGCTAAGAATTGTAACTCTTTGTTGTTGTTGTTGTTTTATACATTTTTATTAGTTTTTTTTAACATATCATTTCCAACAATCATATAACATAACTTCTTGTCTTATACAATATTTTAGACTTCTGTCAACACCTCTGATGATTTTCCATTCTTTATCACTTATTCTGCATTTCTTATTACTCTTAATTATCATTAACTAATGTGTTTTGGATGTGCTTTAAAGGGACAGTGTGTGCATGCTGTCATTGTGATAGCTCAGCCCTCTGTGGCCAGAGAAATCAATCTCTCATTACTTAGAGCCAATCTTGGTGCCACACACCAAGACGTGGGAGTAACAAAGCCTCTCTGTTCTGATTTTTAAAGAGAAAAGCAACTTCAGAGAGGATTTTCAGCAGGTGGAGGAAATGTTGCCACTTCTTCATTCCAAATGAGGGGCTCCCATCATGGAGTTCCAAACATGTATTTATCCTTGCAAGCACACCTGGATTCTACGAGGAGCTGCAGCTGATTGGGGCAGTAGTGGCTGATTGCAGCAGAGAAAGACTGGGTGGGGAAAAGAAATTCAGCACTTCCTTCCCCCGGTGCTCTAAACTGCCTCCCCCTAAAGCAACTTCTTGCTTTTAAAAACTCCATGCACCACAGTTTTATTGCATACATTTGTATGTAATGTTTACTTTGGCCATTAGTGCTTTATAGTTATGGTGAAGCTGATAACTCTCAAGTCCCGGCTGTGAACCTTTGGGAAGCTGCAGTGAATACAAACAGACCATGAAGGTATTTGCCATATTGTTCAGAGAGAACTTCCTTTTTTATAATTCAGTTATTAGGTGGTGCTGGGTGAAGCTATTCTGTTTTAGTGCAGGATCAGTAGGATGCAGAGCATGTAAAGGTGTGACTGAAGGATTCAGGATTACCCAGCCTTCTTCCATACAATAATATGTGCTGTTCAGCCACGGCAGGGACAATATGTTGACACTCAAAGGAGAAAACGGGTTTCTTAGCTGTGCACTTGCATTCTTGAAGAGTGGTCCACAAGCAGCCATACGTCTAGCCTTTCTCATCACTATGATTGTGTCACCTGTTCTGGATTCTGAAATGAGGAGGAGGAAGCCCTGCCTGGGTAGAACATGTTGCCACCAGAGGTGGCAAAAAGGCTATTGGCTGGGGTGGGCCCCCTCCAGGTGAACCCTGATAGTCATAGCTTTCTAGAAAAGTCCCAATTGGCCAAGTGTGGGGCCATCACAGTTATAACCTTAGCAGTGTGTGGACTACTCTCAGTATCTGCTACAGGTACATCTCCATTTTCTTCAACAGGTTCCCAACCCACACAAAGATATCTACTGCTCCATAATCCTACAGAGATGGAGCGGGCGGGTGGGAGGACAGGAGGCTGCAAAGAAACCAGAAGCTTATGCAGGCCTATTGATTTAACTCTATGGTTGAGAGCAGTTGAACATAGAATGTTAGGAAGTCAGTTAAAAAAACACCCATCTTAAAGGGAGGGGAGGGCATTAGCCTCTTCAGGCTTCTGACACCTTGTAGTGAGTATTGTAGAGGGTGGCAGGCATTAAAATTGGGGGATTTGCATATTTTGTTTATTTCCAGTATTTCTAGCCTTCTTTCCCCCACCACAATCACTAAAACAATCTATCAGTCTGAAAACCATAGATAGCACAAACAACTTAAAATGCCTGCTGAAGCAGAAAGCAAGTTCAACAAGGAAGGAAATTGTCTGATTTCCAGTCAGGAGTGAGTTCCACAGAATTGGACCCTCGCATGGCTCCTGGTGGAGATGAACCGTTCCTCTGAAACATGGGGGACTAGTAACGGAGACACACACATCCCGGAAAGATCACAGTGATATCTCCAGAATATAAGAAATAAGGCAGTGCCAGATTTAGGACAATACAGGTCGTTTCCCCCGAGCCAAGGGGGCACAAAATTGAGAAGATCCTTTTGGAGGGGCCAAATTTGGCCTCGCACAGGGTGCCATGTTACCAAAGATTACCAATGTCTGCCCCTAAGTAAGGATATCCTGAACCCAAGTTGTTAGGGGTCTTGTCAGTTAATACTTGGCCCATTAATGTATAGGCAGCCAGTACAAGCTTTTCAGCACTGAAATTATGTGCTGGTGGTAGTAATCTGTCCCCACCAACAGTCGAGCCACAGCTGCAGCTTCTGGACCAGGTCCAAGGGTAGCTCCACACTGAGTGCATTGCAGTAATCAAGTACTGAGGTGGATTATGAAGACAGAGCACAGCCATCATAGATGGCAGCCATTGACAACCTTATCTATTAATAATTGTTCCTTTAACAGCTGTATGAAAGGCAGCAATTCAACCCGTTAACCATTTACTAGTATGAAAATACAGTGATAGGAAACAGTTCCTACCTGTTTGCTGCTCTGATTGCTTTATTTTGCTGCCTGCCAGCAGGGAGAAATGGCAGTCTCTGTGTGATGCCCTATATCCTATCAACTTTTGTCCCACTCACCATTTTGGCCTGGCTCAGCACTCCTAATGCAAAGGGGTGTGTGTATAAAGGCAGGCATTAAATGGCAGCAGAATAGAATGTAACAAGTACACTCTGTGACAATTCAAGCATAATGTAAATGCTTGCAAAATGGCCTATCATAGCAGCAGTGATAATTGGTGACGACAGAATCATCTGAGTAAATGAGAACTTGCACCAGGACAGGAAACCATTGTCTCAATTCAGACCCAAATGAATAGAATTCAACTTTTTAATTAGTTTCAGTTGAGCACTTTCGTGCTAGAGCTTTCCTTCCAAGTTCCAGAATTGTCATTTAAAGGTGGGTTCTGCTGTGGAGACTAATACAGTACTTGAGTTTATTTACAAACTGATAGGTAAAGGCAGACCGCACAAAGATGCCAACAAAGCAAATGCCAAGGTACCCATGTCAGATCCCCAGAGATGCTTAAGCAGCCCACAAACCTCAGCTCAGCCTTCTCCCTGTGTGGCTCCCCTGACCCCAGTCTAACCTCAGTCTACCTCCTTTTTTCCCTTTCCCAGACACAGATTAGATTAGAGGAGACAGAAAAGGATGCCTTTGGCCAAAATGACTCTCGCCTATCTCCCCAGCTAGCTCCTTCTCATTGTGTGACATTTACCTGTAATTTCCCTAACAAATGAATTGTCCACCAACAATCAGAAAGTTCCCAACAGTTCCTGTAGAAGTCTATTAACCCTCTAATGACCAAGCCCCAATCTTACAACAGCAGCTATAAAATGCCCAGGTGTAAGTCTTTCAGGCCTCTAGGGTCATATAGCAACACAGGTAAAGTGTTAGAAGTTGGGTTGTGGGAACAGAAAAGGGTATACTTCCACTCCTGAGGTTCACCCCCATCGGAGACCTACAAAGCTCCTTGTTTCATTCTGACTAGACAAGGACTCGAGGTGAAGGGTGGGCGGATACTCTGAAACATTTTGTTGCAGTCGCCATTTGTAAAGCAATTTTAAGAGCATAAGGGGAGCCCTACTAGATCATACTGAAGGCCTATCTATCTGCACCCTCTTTCCCACAGTGGTCAACTAAATGCCTATGGAAAGCCCACAGGTATCACCTGAGCAGCCTGGTTCCCCAGGAACTAGTATTTGGAAGTGTTCTGCCTTTGGTGCTGGAACCACCAAAGCTCAGAGCCATGGGCATCCTGATCCTTCCTGAATTTGTCTAATCTTTTTCTCATCTGTACTGCATCTGTACTGGAGTTCCTTTTAATTTTTTATAAACTGAACTGTTTTTAATTGGGTTTTAAAAAAAATATATGGAACTGTTTTTATTTGTTTTTGCACATTTATAGTTTTATGCTCTTAACTGCTTTATTTATTTTAATAATAGTGTGCTTTATGGTTGTAAGCCATCCTGGGACCTTATTGTAAGGGGAGGGTAAGAAATCTCTAACAAATAAAATATAATGGATCCCAATTTAAAGCCATGTTGCATGTCTGCCCGCATATCTTTTGTAAGAAACACACAATAAAAATGTCAAACGTCTAACCCATTTGTAACACTACTAGATGTTCAGAACAGTATGCACAGGTTCTACATACTGAGATAAGACAAACAGCCACATGTCACCCAGTGAACTTCATGAGGAGAGCAGGGTTTGAACACAGGACTCTATTCCCTACACCTCACTGGCTCTAACAGGGGGACTTGGGCAAAGGACTGGTCTAGAAACCTAAAGCCCTTTTGGGAATGGGTAAGCTGTCCTGATGGTAATGGGTGATGGGTAAGCTGTCTCTGGGACGCGGGTGGCACTGTGGGTTAAACCACAGAGCCTAGGACTTGCCGATCAGAAGGTCGGCGGTTCAAATCCCCACGACGGGGTGAGCTCCCGTTGCTCGGTCCCTGCTCCTGCCCACCTAGCAGTTTGAAAGCACGTCAAAGTGCAAGTACGGTAGATAAATAGGTACTGCTCCGGCTGGAAGGTAAACGGCGTTTCTGTGCGCTGCTCTGGTTCTCCAGAAGCGGCTTTGTCATGCTGGCCACATGACCCGGAAGCTGTACCCTGGCTCCCTCGGCCAATAAACCGAGATGAGCGCTGCAACCCCAGAGTCGGTCACGACTGGACCTAATGGTCAGGGGTCCCTTTACCTTTACTTTTAAGCTGTCCTGACGCTTAACTTTCTTCCTTTCTCTTGGCAGTTTCCCTGAGGCTGGTCATTGAAGATGGCCAGCAAGCAAGGGTACAGTTGTCTCTCTGATGGCTCACTGGATGTTCCCTCTTCCAGCCCTGAAGGCACCCTGAGCCTCAGTCCTCACAGCCCTGGGCTCTGCCTGATCTCCACGCCCACAGCAGAGACCCACTGGCTGAGCAGCGCCCCACCCCAGCCAGAATCGCCTGGAGAAATGAATGTAACATTGGAGAAACTCCTGGCTCCCATTACGGAAAAGCTCAAGTATTTGCTGAAGAAAGCAGAGGACTTCCAGACGTATCTGCTGTACAGGTGGCAGGGGGCTGAGTCAGGGCTGGGGAGGAGGTGGGCAGCCTTTGGGCAGTCTGGGCAGGCCACATGTTTGCTGGGGAGACACTTTGAGGTGACTGTAATTATGAAGTCACTGCAGATTAGGGAGGAGCAAGGACTTGAAAGAGGGAGGCTGGCTGGGCTAGTCCTAGGGCAGAGTGATGTCTAAGGTAGCTCCATTAACTATGAAACCCAAAATTTGAGATCCCCACAAATTTTCTGCTTGCTGAATCTACGCTTTAGTGGGGCTTGATTTTGAGTGAGTTCCTGTGCACCCTTTGGATTCTTGCTAAGTGGCAAACGTAATGGAGAACTCTTACTCTCCCACAGTGGAGGGTGGGTGTGTGGGTGTGTGAAACTTACACACCCAGTTTTCCTCCTCCAGGGGCTCGCCCTCTTCTTGGGACCCCCCCTCCCCAAATTAGGCCAAATTGATCAGGGGAAATACCTGGAGTGACCTGGAAAATGCACAGGGCTTATTGGGCCACTCTTTAGTTGATGGACTGCTTGGGAATGAAGTTTTCATACTACAGTAGTACCTCAGGTTAAGTACTTAATTCGTTCCGGAGGTCTGTTCTTAACCTGAAACTGTTCTTAACCTGAAGCACCATTTTAATGGGGCCTCCTGCTGCTGCCACACCGCCAGAGCACGATTTCTGTTCTCATCCTGAAGCAAAGTTCTTAACCCGAGGCACTATTTCTGGGTTAGCGGAGTATGTAACCTGAAGCGTATGTAACCTGAGGTACCACTGTACATTATTGCCAGAGAGATAGCAAGCCAAGGGGCTGTCCGGTCTAGTTTTGCAGCTGGACGGTGCCAGAATCCTCAAGTCAGCCCTGGGTTGTGGCCATGATGCACTTCCCCAGTAGCGGAATATGCAGTGTGGGTCTAGCCATGTGACCAGCAAGAAGAGGGGCTTGGAATGGAGAGCAAAGAGAGTCGCTGCATTTCCTCCCGGTGTGATGACCATATTGTGGGCCTCCTATTTTCAGCAGAGACAGAATGCAGAAGGAGCAATTTGCCAAAGCCATGCCCACGTTCCTGCAGATGTGCCAGCCTTACTTCCACTACCTGGAATCCACAGCGCGAAGCTGCACTCCTTATTTAAGACCCCCACAGGAACCAGTGAGGAGGCGCGTGAGTCTGGGCCAAGGAGGGAAATCCCCATAGAGTTGGGAGGCACAGTCGCTTCATCTAAACTGGTTCAGAAAGCTTACACGACATTTTGTTTGCACCGTTGCAGAACTGATCTGAAAAAGCTAAAAAAAAAAGGGGGGGAGGCTCTATGGAAGAAGTGCTTGGAATCAAAAGGCTACAATCTTTGGCTCTGGAAAAGGAACTGAAATGAATGTTAAAAGTCTCTTTTGCATCAGGGCTCCCTCCTCCCCTTCGCAATCAAACTTTATTGAATGGCATTCCAAAACTGCACCTGAATTTTCTAGTCAGCATCCAGCCCACCCTTGGCCAATGCCCTTCCCTTTCTTCTTCACAGTCACAGAGTCTTTTCTTTTCTGCTTAAAATAATAATAAATCTCATATTACTCATTGAAGCAACTGTGCAAATAGCTTGTTTTTCCATTACAAGTGTGTGTAATTTGGGAAGAAGAAATCTACGGATACAAGTTATTTCAGGGTGAAGTGGGCAATCAGTGAAATCGGAAGAGCGTTAGGGATGGAATTCAATGTAGCACTAAGTAGTGCCTTCAAGGAAGATTTCTCCTTGTGCCATGGGACATTCTCTCTGTTCTAGGTGTTTCACCAACCCTGCAGAGCAGATTTGGAGAGGGCACATGCAGGGGAAGAAGAGGGGGAGAGAAACCCTGCTGGGCAAGCATCAATCCTTGGGCTGATTGGACTTGTTAACAGAATACCTCCCATAGTTTTGGTATAACTCTGATTTCTATGCTGGGCTTTTTAGAAAGGAAGGAATCTAGCAGGTTCTTTGCTAAACACAATATATTTTAAATGGGGAAAGGGAATATGACCTTAGCACGTGATATTTGATTCCTACATCCACAAAGAGCAGGGATAGCTCAGATCCCCAATACAATCTGGAAGAATACACTTCAATACAAGGGCTTTTAATGTGTGATATTCTGTTTGTTTGTTTGTTTGTTTGTTTGTTTGTTGTTTTGCTGTGTTTTTGTCTATCCTGTTGAAAGCTTCCCAGAGTGTTTGGGGCAACCCAGTCAAATGGGCAGGGTAAAAATAATAATTTTTATTTTTAATTATTATGAAATGTCAGCAACTGGGTTGGTCAAAGATCTGAGGCGGGCTGAACTCTCACCCACTTTCCTTTACTGTCTGTTGTCAGCAAACTCATAGCTGACCAAGGGTGAAATTCTGCTGGACTTAGTTGTGTTTCCCACCCTCTGTGCTTCTGGCAGATACCCATCCATTGTGTAAGGATGGCTCTTGGGACAAGGGATAGGGCTTTCTCAGTAGCCACACCAGTGGAACAGCTTGCCTCATGAAATCTAGAAGACCCCCTCCTTCTCCTCTTCTTTGGCAGCCTTGTTTTCATTTGGGCAGGCTGAAGGTCGAAGTGCCTTTTACTGAAGACTGACTTTGATCAGCCATGCCTGTCTCTGTTACTGTATTTTATTTTTACATTCATATTTATTATTGTATTTTTCTGCTGTGATTATAATTACTATACACTGCCTTGAATAATAGATAGGCATTAGAAAGGTAGATATATACCTTTATAATAATTAAATAGACAAATGAACAGCTTGGCTGGCACAAAACATTTCACCCTTAGGGGCGTGTCCAGGTTTTTTCCGACGTATGCAACCAGGACAGAGGTCTCATCTCTCACTTCCCACTGCTCAAGAACTTGCCCTTTCAAGCCTTTGGAGCACTTCCAGACAACCTGCTTATTGACCACCCATCCCAATTTGCTTGTAAGGAGGTTAGATGATGTTGGGTCAAATCCCACATGCTCCAGAGCATTTCGCCTGTCACTTTCCTTACTGCAAAAAGTCTAAACTTCTGGGGAAGTGGATTTGTTGTGCCCAAACTCCCAATCAGCTAAGATTGTGCATCCTGAATTTGCAATTCTGCACTTTCCCCCACAGCTCCTGGAGATCTCCCAGCAGTTGGCCTGCCAGCTTGAGCAACTGGTGCTGATGTATGCTTCTTTCAGCTTTGTCTCTTTAGAAGACACTGACCCATTCAGGTAGGAGACAGTCTCCAAGACTTGCATGTGCCCAAGTGTGGCACAAGTGGCCCCAGAGTGCTAGGAGGAGCAGGTTGCTCTGGAATTGGTGCCTGCTAGTCACTAGAGTTTTAGGGACGCGGGTGGTGCTGTGGGTTAAACCACAGAGCCTAGGGCTTGCCGATCAGAAGGTCGGCGGTTCAAATCCCCGCAATGGGGTGAGCTCCCGTTGCTCGGTCCCTGCTCCTGCCAACCTAGCAGTTCGAAAGCACATCAAAGTGCAAGTAGATAAATAGGTACCGCTCTGGTGGGAAGGTAAACGGCATTTCCGTGCTCTGCTCTGGTTCGCCAGAAGTGGCTTAGTCATGCTGGCCACATGACCCGGAAGCTGTATGCTGGCTCCCTCGGCCAGTAAAGCGAGATGAGCGCCACAACCCCAGAGTTGGCCACAACTGGACCTTGTGAGCTTCCCAGAGGCACATGCTTAATTGGACAGGGATGTATTTGGTGTTCCCTGTCTGCTAGCACAAAGGTTCTTGCATTAGGGAATGGGTAAGTTTTCGTATTACGCACCAGAGGAATCCAATGCAGTTGCATTAGCGAAAAGTCATTGCACAACAGATTGTGCAATCTATTGTGCAACGAAGTCACCAGCAACCTGCTTATGCATTCAGTTACACAGCAATACTCTACTGCCATAAACATTTCATCAGTGGAACAACTATACTGCTAAGTGGCTTTCGCTTAGGTCTACGTTGGTTCCAACCTGCAGTCTATAAATCCCAAAAATAATATTAATTTTTAAATAATAGAATGCACAGCATTGAAATAAATCAGCTCTCTGCATACCATGAAGCACACAAGATTCAGTCCAAAGGCAGGAGACTCTTTGTACCAATACGGTCTTCCAGCTAGATTTTTTTTCAAGACAGAAAGTAGCAGATTTAAAAATGAAGTCCCTTTCAAAATATATTCAATATTATTATTATTTTTACATTGTCCTCCCACATCTCTCCCGAATTGTTTAGCTTTGGGTCTCAGTTTCTGGCAAATATATTTCAAAACCAACGTTTAATTATAGCAATCTAGCTTTATATTTGCAAATCATCTGGAAAACTGGTTTAACTGGAAAATGTAATCATTAGCTTTTTGCATGTGTTTTGTAAGTTATGTGCTCTATATCTGATCTCATGCACAGCTGCTCTTACCTGTCTGTCAATCACTACCAGTGTCTCATGCTTCTTCTGTGGAAAGTTTTGGCTGAATGAGTTGCGACAAGTTTCCATCTTCCGATATTGCATCCCAGCACCCTACACAGCTGCCCATATTCCCCGCAACCTCTATAAGAAGATGCGCTGGAACCTCGATATCTTGGAAGGCTCTGCTTGCCGGAATCAAACACCCCGGACAGAATAGTGAGTTGCAGGACACCCTGGAGATATGGGGTGTAGGGGACCTGAACGGAGAGCCATATCTGGCACTGACCCCCCCCTCCCCACCTTATTCCTCTGCTCCACTACTTCAGGCTACTTGATGCAGGTCTTGGTGTGGTTTTATTCCACTGCCACTTTCCTGAGGCTTGCTTGACTGGCCATCCCCATTCTTCACTGCCTAACTGCAACCTTGTCCTTCTGTTGTAGCTACTTCCTGTGCTTCCGGGATACAGGAGATGAGACAACAGCGAAGATGCAGAAGCTCTGGTCCATTGGGCGCTGGGTGCCTTTGGATCCTGACAGTGACCACAGCTCCGATGTGCTCTCCTGGTAAGCATGCAGCAGGGAAGTGCTGTCTAGAACAGCAGTGGGCTGACTTGAGTCTTGTGTGGTCTACCAATGTACTTTATGTTTACAAAGCAATATTGCATCCTCAAGATCTCCTAACAATTAAGACAGGTGGTGCACCAAAGCTTTCAATAACCTACCCGAACCCACTGGGGGCAATAGACAGAAAGACAACCTGTTCTTCTCTTTTTAGTACTTGCTGGTAAAGCAGATTGCTTCCTTTCAGGCTTTACCTCCTTCCTGCTTCTTCAAGTATGAATCGGAGCCAATAGATTAACACTATCCCATGCTATCTTGGCCACATTTAAAACCTACACTTACCTTCAACCAGCAGTCTCGCCAGACTATTTCTTTCTGCACACCACTGTAATATATTCACCAAACTCCGACAAATAGCTAAACTTTAGGTCAACATGAGCTAACTTCAGGACGTGCCTTTCTTTCAGAAATCATGGGCTTCACTGTTTGATTCGTTTAAACACTGTTGGCAAAGATACCCAGCTGTGGCATCTAACATCATTTCCCTATTTTAAGCTTTGAAAGTGAAGCAGACACATACACTATGAAAAATACACTTACTCCTGTCTGCACTGTCTTTGGCACCCTCCCAGACATGTAACAGGAAGTTATTCAGGAAGAAGTTTAAACCAGGGGTCACAACTGTTCCAGATACCAACACAGTTGTAATTTTAAGGCATTTCTGCATTGTGGGATATAGCTTGAAATGTGTGTATGGCAAGCGGCTTTTCTCTTATCTGATGAGTGGGTTGAAACTTCCCACACATTTTCTACTATGGTAAATACAAGTGCAGCTGATGCCTGGCACTTGATTCAATATTATGACTGAAGACTGATGCCTGAATGCTGGTTTGTGCTTTCTGGAAGAATGAATGCAAAGAAACAAGCATGAAAATAAAAACAACACCACAAACCACCTTTGAACACTGAATTTCCTCTTGCTTCTGGGAAAAGATGTACTCGTAAGGGGCACATTCTGACAGTGGCAAATGTGGAATGTAGCTTAGTCATAGCTGTGTCTGCTAAAGTGCAAAGTGACATGCAGGGTGAAGGTATTCCAGGTGCCCTTCAGATATTTTGGACTACAAGTATCTTCAGCCCAGCCAGTATAGCCAATGGTCAGGGATGATGGGAGTTGTAGTCTGAAGTATCTGAAGGAGACCACATTGGCTTCCCCTGTGGCTTTAAACATGCCTTCCTGTGTATTCCTGTAGCCGGTAGGATTGCCACCTGTCCTGTACAGTACATGGTTGTCCCGTATTTCAATGTAAAATGCTTACGTCCTATATAGATACAGTTTTGTCCTGTATTTCAAGTCTTCTCTCTCTCTCTCTCTCTCTCTCTCTCTCTCTCTCTCTCAAGTTAGGGATCCTCTCCAAGTGCATGTGCTTTAAAGGGCGTTTGAAAAGTCATGTATTTAAGCTCTGGGTAGCCAAGAACAGACAGATTTACAAATTTGTCTTTGTGTGTGTAACAAATTCCAGAGGGGCCATCCAGTTAGGCTGCAATAGACTGTAATGGATTGCTTTGAAGTCACTTCAGCACCAGATGGAAATAATAATAATAATGCCCCCTCCCACAACCCTGTATTTTGTCAGAACAAAAGTGGCAACCCTATGTACCAATGCTGTAGTGACTGCTCATTAAAATCAGGGGGTTCAACTGGATGTTTAGGTTTTTATATCAACCATTTACGTACCACTGAATCACAATTGTGGTATACAGGAGCCCAAAACAATAAAAGCAGTGATGAGTTCGAACTAATTTCAAACGACGTTAAAAATAGCACGGATGCCGCCACCCACTTTGCCTTTTCTTCCCACAGGGTCTTGTGCCGCCAGCCCATGGGGGATTACCAGCAGCTCCTGACAATTGGGTTTGAGGAACCCTCCCACACGCTTGCCACGGACCTCTTGGTGCAGATGCTCAGTGCTCAGAGCGCCAGTATGCTGAACCGCGAGTCCTCCTGCTGGGTGAGCTCAGGGGAACAGGTGCAGTGAAAAACGTACCTTCATGGTATGCCACCAAGGGGCAGCCCACTGCCTCCTGCCACCACCAATGTCACATTTGTGGCATAAGATGCTACCCTCACATTAGGCACAGTGAGGTCATGCTAGATATTGGCATGCAGATATGCCAGTTTAGGATTTTTGTGTTGAAGTTGAAAAATTTTGAGGTCACCCCCTTCCTAATGTTAATCCTCTTGTGCTTGCACTGCTTGCAATGAGATGTGACTGATATTTTTTGAACAAGAATATACTTGCTTGCCCTTCTGCTGGCTTCCTATGCCTGGCCACTGAACAGGTACAGCCCACTTTGAGATAAGCCATATCACCAAAGTACTGAGGCTCTCGTGTGCCTCCTTACAAGGTGAAGCAGAATAGAGCTGGAAGTCACATTTGCCTTTGAATTCCCTGTTTCCCTCTGAGCTCTAGTCACTTGTGGCTTAAGGCAGGTCAAAGTATCTGAAATACCTAAGCGGGGACATCTAGAAAGCTTTTTATTTTTAAAATGTCTATGTATAGCTTTCTTAATAAAGAAGTGGTGACTATTTTCAGGCTCAACTTTACTGATGTGTGGAACTTTTCTCAGAAGTAGAAGGGTGCTGGAGACGATCAGATTCAATATCCTTTCATCTTTCAGCTCCAGTCTTGGCAATTCATTTTGACAATGTTTAGGGTGGTGCACAAAATTAGAAAGCTGTCTAAATAAATATTTAGAACAGATCTAGAACGTGATCTAGTTAACATAAGAGAACAAGAAATAGGCCCCCCCAAAATCAGCAGTAATATACAGTGGTACCTCGGGTTACATATGCTTCAGGTTACAGACTCCGCTAACCCAGAAATATTACCTCAGGTTAAGAACTTTGCTTCAGGATGGGAACAGAAATCATGCTCCAGCGGCGTGGTGGCAGCAAGAGGCCCCATTAGCCAAGGTGGTTCTTCTGTTCTTCAGGTTAAGAACAGTTTCAGGTTAAGAATGGACCTCTGGAACGAATTAAGTACGTAACCAAAGGTACCACTGTTATGTTCAAACACTTGACAATACAAAAATGCCTGCAGTGGTTCCAGCGAGCCCATAAAGCTGGGCGTTTGCACCCTTCGGAGGATGAACTTCCAGAGCTTTGAGGTGGTCATGGAAACAGCCTGCCCCAGGGGCTGGTCTGAGTTTCAGCATGCCTCTGCCCCCACTCAAAAGTCTGAGAGCTTCAAAAACCCTATCACTTTTATGCAAGCGCTAAATATGAATTTTCTGTTAATAATATTATATTAACATAAACAGGCTTTGCTTGTTGTGTCAGCTTCTCTAGCAAATGCCAAAAGCAGTGTTTGTATCCTGCTCCTATTCTTACTTCCTGCTTTGGTGGAACCTTGAATGGGATATAATCAGGAGACCTCAGGGGAAGCAGGCTGGGTGTTTCATGGGAGCAGAGTGTTCTCTTAGGGAAGTAGCTCCCAGGCTCTTATTTCCAGTTATAACCCATCTTTCATCCCAAAGGTTCCCTCCCGGGTAGTGATAAATCGGGATATCAAATCCAAATTCTTCTTCTAACAGAAAATAATAAAATACAATAATCCATTTTTTAAAAGAACCACCCAGATCAACATGAAAAACAATAATTGAAAACAATCGTGCCAATGCTAAAAGTCACCAGCAGATTTTATAAGTCAGTGCTAGCACCTTCAAACCATGCCTGGAAACTCATGGCAGTTTGCAGAAAAACTGGATTTTCTTCACCTGCCATAATAATGGATGGGATTTGATAAGAAGGATTTTTAAAATTTCACACCTGAAACCCCATAACTAAAACAACCATTGTATGAGGAATAATAGGTCCTGTAGAACAGGGAAGGCCAGCCAACATAGAGGAGCTGGTGGAGAGGGCCATCCCTGCTCCAGCAGCATTCCTGGTTAAACATTAGGGAAACCTGCAGAACTTCGCAGAAAGGAGAAAGAACACAGTTAGAAGGCAGAGGTAAACAGGAGTAGAGAAGCCCTGCCATCTAGCGCCCAAAGTGTATATCTCAAAGTTAGGTTATACTGGTGCTTGGTTAAAAAACATGCACCAATATAAACACTAAAATAAACATCGATAATAGAATTCAGAAATTCAGAGTTGCAAAGATTCCATGTGGAAAAAATAACCAAATTGCTGATTGATCACAACAATTCCCCTAAGGACAGCACCCATGATTCATAGTTTCATTTGTGTCTTCAGTGTGTCCTTAACCAGCAGTAGTATAAAGAGACACAGCTAATTCCATCTTTCTCCAAGATGCTCCAAGAGTGGGATACACAGAAAGAACACCTGTGGATGCCACTTCTGCACATATTTGCTTAGCATAATAGTTTAGGAAAACACACACACACACACACACACACACACACAAACATTAGATCAAATGCTTTAGTGAACAGTAAGACAATATAGTTGCCACAACCACATCCCCCTGCTTACAGTGTAATGCAAAGCAAGAGAGATTCATTTACTCTAAGATGTGTCCAGATTTTGAATGTGGCTTCAACACAATTTAAAGCACTTGACTCCCCCTGTTCCAAGTATATTGGGAACCATAGTTTCTTAAGGCTGCTGGGAATTGTAGCTCTTTTAGGAGTGTGTACACAGGCATTGTCCATATTGCACTGCCTCAAAATAAGAGCCACACTTTTTATGTCTTCATTATAGCATCAAATGTTCGCTCTTTGTGAAATGATCAAAGAGATTAACCCTCTTTGCTAAGCCTTTATAAGATATGCCTGTCAGGGAGCAGACTCTCCATATTTTGAGGGGAGAATTCTGAGGTTGCTCATCCAGTTGTGAAGGAATGGACAAGCTGTGAACCAGGATCTGCTAGAAGAAAGAGAAGAATTTATCTTCGCCATCAGTTCAAGATTTTTTAATTTATTTTTTTTGAACAGTGAAGAACAGCAACCTCAGCCGACATAATCTGCAATATAGATCTGTATCTTCAAAGCAAAAACACTTCAGCTATAAAAGCGAAACCAAGCCTCAAGTAGTTCCAAGTGTAGTCAAGCTACTTCTACAGGGCAGACAGGTGTTTTCAATCTGAGGCCACCTAATTCTGCTGCAGTGGGAAGGGACTGGTTTAAAGGGGATGTGACCAGGCTTAGAAATTTCTGCTAAGTGCTTGGCAGACTTTCCAGCCCAGCATCCAGTGTGGGCTGAAATAGTACTGCATTTAGCACAGGAAATAGTATTTCATTTAGCACAAGAATGAAGGCTGAATAATGGCTCAATTAGAGCTGGATGCATTCCAGTGAAAAAAATAGCACAGACGGTTCTGCACGATGGATTGGCTTTTTGGAGGATTAATGTTTTTAATGAAATAGCACATGAATTCCCTGATGTCTGTGAGTCATCACTAAGGGAGCAATACTACGCTCAAGGAGCTGGTGTGAAGCAAGCTGGTGTAAGGTAAGCTGGCGTAAAGTTACACAAGATCCTTAACCCCATTCCACAGCAGGGCTGCTGCAGCTGCTCTGCCTAAACCTGGCAGAGGGAAAACAAGCTTTTGAAATAGCGTTCTGTGCTGGGTTGCCAGGTCATATGACCAAGCTGAATAATAATAATAATTTATTATTTATACCCCGCCCATCTGGCTGGGTTTCCCCAGCTACTCTGGGTGGCTTCCAACAGAACAGTAAAATACAATAACCTATTAAACATTAAAAGCTTCCCTAAACAGGGCTGCCTTCAGATGTCTTCTAAAAGTTTGGTAGTTATTTTTCTCTTTGACATCTGGTGGGAGGGCATTCCACAGGGCAGGTGCCACTACTGAGAAGGCCCTCTGCCTGTTTCCCTGTAACTTGGCTTCTCGTAGCGAGGGAACCGCCAGAAGGCCCTCGGCACTGGACCTCAGTGTCCGGGCAGAACGATCTGAACTGGTTCAGATCTGGCCAAAGTCCCCTTCCCCCTCTGGTCCCATCCCTGTTGCATCCTTTGGGGGTGGGGTGGGGAACCTACACTAGCCTTGGCTTAGCCCTGGCTGAGCAAGTTATGCTGGCCTCTCTTCAGCTGAGCTGGGGCTGGGAACTTAATTCCAGCTGAGCTGAGCATCAGCCAGCTAAACTGAAGATCTGCTGTACTCTAAGCTGCTCATCCTGGTGGATCTTGAGGGGACTTTCCTGGAGATCCCAAACTAATTTGCCCTTTAAAGAGCTTCTTTGGTGCAAAATGGAGCATACTTAACTTAGAGGTGCCCCACTGATGCTGTGTCCACACCCCTGTATACTCTCCATCCAGTGTGCTCCCACCCCAATGCTAGTTTGGCAAGCCATGTACGCAATAGCCACAATCCATATCTATCCTGCATCTTTCCTGTGGTTTCTTATGAAATACTATATTTTTTTATTAAAGATTTACCTCTCTTTCAAATCAGAACCAGTGAAGGCAGTGAAGGTCCTGTGTGAGTGTGTGGAGGCAGTTGGAGGATGGACGGCGGCTAACAGATTGAGGCTGAATCAGTGGCGTAGCGTGGGGGGTGCAGGGGGGGCCGGCCGCACCGGGCGCAACATCTGGGGTTAGGGCAAATCCACAGGTTAGGGGGCGCAAATCCACGGGTTAGGGGGCGCAAATTACTTGCCTTGCCCCGGGTGCTGACAACCCACGCTACGCCACTGGGCTGAATCCTGACAAGACAGAAGTACTGTTTTTGGGGAACAGGAGGCGGGTGGGTGTGGAGGACTCCCTGGTCCTGAATGGGGTAACTGTGCCCCTGAAGGACCAGGTGCGCAGCCTGGGAGTCATTTTGGACTCACAGCTGTCCATGGAGGCACAGGTCAATTCTGTGTCCAGGGCAGCTGTTTATCAGCTCCATCTGGTACGCAGGCTGAGACCCTATCTGCCCGTGGACTGTCTTGCCAGAGTGGTGCATGCTCTGGTTATCTCCCGCTTGGATACTGCAATGCGCTCTATGTGGGGCTGCCTTTCAAGGTGACCCAGAAACTACAACTAATCCAGAACGCAGCAGCTAGACTGGTGACTGGGAGCAGCCGCCGAGACCACATAAGACCGGTCTTGAAAGACCTACATTGGCTCCCAGTAAGTTTCTGAGCACAATTCAAAGTGTTGGTGCTGACCTTTAAAGCCCTAAACGACCTCAGTCCAGTATATCTGAAGGAGCGTCTCCACCCCCATCGTTCTACCCGGACACTGAGGTCCAGCGCCGAGGGCCTTCTGGCGGTTCCCTCACTGCAAGAAGCCAAGTTACAAGGAACCAGGCAGAGGGATTGTTTAAGAAGGCATGCAATTGGTGGTGTGTTAGCCAGGGTATTTGGGTGTCCCCTAGTTTGTCTTGTATTTCTTGTGTTGATATGGGTTTGCTGTTTTGTAGAAATCTGCTAGGTGATATAGGCCTTTGGCTTGCCAGGTTTTTATCTGGAAGTTTTATGCTGTGTGGGGACCATAGAGGGAAGTGAGAAGTGAAGGGGGAAAAATCTCATTATATATATATATATATATCATGCTCCTTTTTGCAATGTGCATTTTCTTGGCGCAGTCCTAGTCTTCCAGCGGGAGAGGGCGATCACTGAGGCTTTCGTTTTGTCTAGTAAAGTCTGCGATCCAGAACACCCAGGTGGTGCGGTGCATGGTGGGGTGGCAATGGGTAGGGCTGGGCGAGCTGGAGCTGCTTGTTGCTGCCACCAGTGCTGAGTCCGGTGGCAGCCTGGGCCGGACTCTGCAAGGTGCAGGGTGCAATCCACCCCAGTGCCTAGCTGGGGGGGGGGGTGTCATCTGGTGCTGCTGACTTGTATCTAGTAAATAACCAAGTGTCTAATCAGAAGAAAGCCGCACTGAGTTCAGTGGGCCTTACTCCCAGGCAGCCAGGGCTTCTCCGGATGACAAGATCTTTTTGCACCAGGTCAGTGAGGATCACTTGCTTTTTAAAATTCTCCCATATATACAGAACTCCCTGTGCGCCTTTTGGACTGAATCAAATAATGGGGGTCACATAGGTGTTGATTACTTTTTATAATACATGCAAGATGGATCTCCCTCTGGAGGTTGTGGACTCCTTCCTTAAAGGTTTCTAAGCAGAGGTTGGATGGCCGTATGTCAGGGATCCTTTAGCTGAGTTTCCTAAATTGCAGGGGGTTGCACTAGAAAGATGACCCTTGGGGTCCCTTCCAGCTCTATGATACCATGTTTTTCTGCTTCAACAACATTTCATTATGTTCATATTATTTTATGTAATTGTATTTTGTATAAATTATAAAAATTATTTTAAAGTTCTATCTACAAACAAAATATTTAAATAGTTACCTTTCTGCTGGTAGGATGGGGAGGGCATGGGCGTAGCCAGGATTTTTGATGGGGGCAGGTGCTTGCTAGGGGGAGTAGAACCTCAGATTTGTATTGATTTGTACTTATTGGGGGGTAGCTGCCCCCCTTGGCTATGTCTTTGGGGGGGCACAGGAAGGTCGGAAAGGGGGCCATGGTCTAGGTACATAATCGTCAGTGGGAGTTTAGTTGCTTTGCTGTGTTTGATCAAATTCAGTAATTTCCTAATGGGATCTGTTATATTTAGACCAGGGACAAAGCCAGTCTGGTCTGGGGCAATTAATTTGTGTAGGAATTTTTTTTTTAGTCTTGCAGTCTTGGTTAATCAATGAGAGATCCGGTGGTATGATTCTACTCTGAGGCTATCTTTGAGTGGTTTTGGGATAGAGACTATTTTGGAAGAAGTCCAGGTTTTAAGGATGGGGGCCCCTTTTATGATGTCATTGAATAGGTGGGTTAGGGCATCAGGGTTTCTTTGAATTTCTTGAAGAATTCTGCTGTAAAGCCATGAAATACTGCATTTTGATGTGTGTCCCCCACCCCACCCCAAACCAGCTTTGATCCAAACTTAAGAAAAAGAACCTGGATGCATTTTAAACTGGTAATAATAATAATAATAATAATAATAATAATAATAATAATTTATTTATACCCTGCCCATCTGGCTGAGTTTCCCAAGCCACTGGGTGGCTCCCTGTCCAGTGTTGAAAATAATACAGCATTAAATATTAAAAACTTCCCTAAATAGGGCTGCCTTCAGATGTCTTTTAAAAATAGGATAGCTGCTTATTTCCTTGACATCTGATGGGAGGGCGTTCCACAGAGCGGACGCCAATACCGAGAAGGCCCTGTCTATGCACACAGCCTTAGTTCATTGACACCTATGCCTTGGTATATACAATGTACTCGGCATTCAAGACAGCAGCACTTGTTCCCTCTTTCCTGACCACATACGGCTCACCACCCCTAGATATATTATAAAGGGCTAGCAGAACAAGCCATAATTTTATTGCAACTTGAGCTTTCGTAGCCCCATGAAGCACAAAACTCAGTGTATGCCTTACAATCCTGCTCAGGAATAAGTCCCCTTGAGTTCAATGGCAGGGGAAAGATTGCATCAGCAGCGCTTATTTTATGGCACTATAATCCTACTCATCCTCCGAACAGTTCAGGGGGCAGACCTTGATCTATAATAAAATGTATGCGGAGAAAAAGGGCGCCTAAAAAATAAACCTACACAGTAAAGGGCTTGCGACGACTCCCGCCAGCATCCAAAATGGCGGAGTCTCCTCCTACAATCTCACCATAGATTTCTGGAAGCTTTGCTCAGCCCCCTTCTCCCATCTGTATTCTCTTTCTCAATCGCCGGGTCTCAATCCAGCCAATGGCGCAGCGCCGACGTCATTTGATTGGCGGGCGCGAAGACGAGTCGAAGCTTCCTTCCGCCGGTTTCGTATAGAGGCGGGTCCGCGCTCGGCGGCGGCGGCCAATAGGAATCGAAGGTGCTTCCTGTACTGGGCCGTCCTATCCGAATTGGAGCGCGGTGTGCACAAGGCGAAGCGGGAAGCGACTCGGCAACTCGGACCTGAGCAGGTGAGGGGGCTCTGCGTGGGTGGGGCGGCGGCGGCGAGGAGCGGGCGAGGGAGGCTTCCCATGGCGGCGCAAGCCTCCCGCCCTGGTGCCTGGTCCCTCAGACCTTCTCGTGGCGTCGGCGGGTGGGGCGGGCGGGCGCCGGCCGGTCGGTCGGTCGGTCGTGAAGAGGAGGCGCCTCTGCTTGGGTCGCCTCTTGGTTCCTTCCTCGCCGGCCCATTCAGACGACCGTTTTGGCCACGCGCGAAATTGCTCCTCACATACGTCGCTTTGCCTCCGGCGGGGCGCTCGGGAGGGCAGGACCTGCATGGAGGCGCCTCGGAAGTCCGGGACGCCTTGGCTGCTTGCGGAACTTGAAGGCGCCGTCGCGGCGCCTCCCCTTCGCCCGCGCCAGCCTCGTGGTTGCAGCGCTCGGGCCTACCCGGGACTGCCTTGGCTGTGCTTCCGAGGCTCCCTTGGGGGTCCTGCGCCTGAAAAGGAGGCGCTCTCTTTCGCCCCCGCCGACGTCCCGCCTCTCTCTCCTCTTCCTCCTCCTCTGGCGATCACTTGTTGCCCAGTAAACTGCCGGATTTACGTATAAGCTAAACAAGCTATATCTTAGGGTCCCACTCTCTTGGGGGGCCCCATAAAATTTAAAGGGAAAAAAACCTAGATGTACATTTCCAAAGTATAAGATATAAAACAGATAAAATGAAACCTACATACAGCAACAGTGTTTTGTGTTAGGCTCCTATGATGTAAGTAATGGGCCCTTCCTGGTAGCCAGCTCCCCAAATATCACTGGTTTGCTCATTTCTATGTATAGGGTGCTCACATTCTGCATGTGCAAATGGATTTAGATACCTACTAGGCCCATAAATTACCATATAGCATATATTCAAAACAAAAAACAGTGACAATTGGTTGTTGACAAAGGACAGTTGGACATATAAAGGGCCTCATTACCTTCAGTAGCTTAGGGCCTCATCAAACTTAAATCCAGTCCTGCGAGTAAGATTGTCTTCCTTGAACATAGTCTTAACAGTGAGTCTGTAAGTGAATGTGAAGGCCAATTCTGGATCCATGTGTCCTTCCACAGCGGGGACCTAGGTTTCTGGGCGGGAGTTGATCATGGTTTGGTTTTGCCAAGCGTGCCTTCCTCTTAGCACGTTTCTCCCTTTCATCCTGAGTTTGTGCTTCTTCAAAGTCCATTACACCTTTGGTAAAGGCTGTTTTCCAATTGGAGCATTCACAGGCCAGTGTTTCGCAGTTATCAGTGCTTATGCTACATTTAAGATATGCTTTGAGAGAGTCTTTAAACCTCTTTTGTTGACCACCAGAATTAGACTTTCCATTCTTGAGTTGGGAATAGAGTAGTTGCTTTGGAAGATGATAATCAGGCATCCAAACCTGACCAGTTGAACGAAGTTGATGTTGAAGAATCAGAATCATTGCTTCGACACTGGTGATCTTTGCTTCTTCCAGTACACTGGCATTAGTTTGCCTGTCTTCCCAAGCGATATGTAAAATTTTCGGAGACACTGTTGATGGAATCTTTAGAGGAGTTGGAGATGGTGTTTATAAGTGGTCCATGTTTCACAAGCATACAGTGAGGTTGGTAGTACAATAGCTTTGTAAACAAGCATTTTAGTTTCCCTTCAAATGTCCTGGTCTTCAACCACTCTGCACTTTAATCAGGAGAAAGCTGCACTCGCAGAGCTCATGCGATGCTGGATTTTGGCATCAGTGTTGGCCCTTGCGGAAAAGTAACTGCCCAGGTACTTTCTGATGTTTCACCTTTGAGTTGGATTTGTGGCACTGCAGAGGGGTTGTTTTGTGGTTGTTGGTGTAGCACTTTGGTTTTTGGATGTTGAATGATAGGCCACTGCGAAGATATTTAGGATGGTTTGGAGGTCATTCTCTGAGTGTGCACACACTACCTTGTCATCAGCATTCTGGAGCTCTATGATGGAAGTTATGATAACATTACTCTTTGCTTTCAGCTACTCAGATTAAAGAGCTTTCCATCTGTTCAATATATGAAAGAGTTTCCCTTTGAGATTGTGTAGGATCACGGTGATGAAAATAATAGAGCTGGGGCAATAAGCCCATGCAATAAGTCTCTTCGGTACTTCTTAATAACTGACGCTTCTTAATCATTCACAAACACTCCACACCAAAAAGACAGGCATAGGTTTTTTCATAATCTGTTTGAAGACCTGCCGTAATAAAATAGGGTGTACTGCATGGTATAAAAGTATTGGAGTAAAGGTTGCAGTCAGTCCTTAGCCTTGCCTTTGCTCTAAAGCTTTTATAAGGTGCAGTATGTCCTGTTCAGGCTATGGCAAGACTTCAGATTGCATTGGTTCTGCTTTGGCTGGAGGGCTTTGTTACTGGACAGTGATGGTCCTGGGGCTGCTGTTTGCCAATTTGGTCTATTTCTTTCTACATCACCAGATTTTCACAAGAACTACCTGCAAGTGCTTAGTATAATGTGCTTTAGTTGTTGCTGTGCGATAGACCCTCTAATAGATGTACAATAAACTTTAGACACAGATTGACAGGCCCTTATTTGTATATAAACTTTTTTTAGAAAAAGGTAAATTTGTTTATATGCTGCCCTAAGGACATAAGAAAAGCCTTCTGGATTCGGCCAGAGGCGCATCTAGTCCAGTGTTCTGTTTTCACAGTGGCCAATGGGCTGCCTGCAATCAGAATATGAAGTGCAGCTGTGCTCTCTGGTATTCAGAATGTACTGTTTCTGACAATAACTATTACACACAATTGTTTTAATCCAATTTAAGGCCCTTTTTGAAAGGCAGGGCAGATTTTCAATTAAAAAATAATAATCTGGCAGTATCAATTTTTGATAAGGGATTTGAAAAAAGTCTACACCTTATCTAGAAACACTGCACTTTTGTTGGGCCATTTTGCATATCACGTTTAGGCTTTCAGCAGCTTTTCTCCTTTGCAGTGGCAGGGGACCTTTTAGGATGGTTGCCCCTCAGAGACTGATTGAGCCAATGGGTTTGGAGCCTCTGGAACATTCAAGTGGCTTGGGCTGTTGACATAATTGCTTTATGGAGCCCGCTTAGGCAGCGGCATAGCTGGCCACTTGGGTGCCTGGGGTGGTGCATGCCCTGCGCCTTGGGGGCAAGACAAGCCGCCCATTGGACGGAGTGAGCTGGGGCAAGGCGCGCTGCACGGAGCCTCACTGCCACCTCCCTCTCAGCTGTTATTCTAAGTTAGGAAATAATAAAAAGCAATGCGTGATGCAAATGTTAGAAAGCCTTAAAAGCTGCTCGGAGAACTGTGGAAAGATGGCACAATTCGCTTCAACCATTACTGGCAGTGCTAGTTGGAACTATTGGGTGTGGATGGAGTGCTTTGAACTGATGATCCTTCAGTTGATGCAGCTACAATTGCAATTCCTAACTCATCCAGATTTCACTTTTCCTGTTCTCTGGGTGCTCTTACTCCTGAGCTTAGTGGTCTTTCCTCAAGCCTTTGATTCCTGCTTTTGGTTTTTCTACAGGACATGGCTGAACAGGATGTAGAGAATGAGTTGCTGGACTATGAGGAGGATGAAGAGCCTCAGGCAGTGACTGATGCTGCCCCTGTCCCCAATAAAAAAGATGTGAAGGGCTCCTATGTCTCCATTCACAGTTCTGGCTTCCGAGACTTCCTGCTGAAGCCAGAGCTCCTTCGTGCCATTGTGGACTGCGGCTTTGAGCACCCGTCAGAAGGTAGGAGCTGAGCCAAGGCCCCTGGCCCCCTCGTCAGCCAGCCCAGCCCACCCACCGGGGAGCAACTGCCAGTGGTGCCATGCGGTGCAGGGTGAGAGCTGGGGGCTGCAGGGAGCAGGGTGGGAGGGTTATGCTGGAATGGGATGTCCTTGTTGAGCCTAGTATAGCTCTCTAGAGCCCTACTTTGTTGGAAATGGAGTTCACTTTGGATGAAGGGACTTCGTAATTATCAGTCCATCTGAGCAGAGACCGTATTAGCCATGGGAAATGGGTTTAGACTCTGCATGGAATAGGGTGTGATCTAACATTTAAGAGAAAGGGGGGATTTTAGGGTGTGCTAGTAAGAAGCTTCTGTAGGATGACTATTCCACAGCCATGTCTTTCATTTTAACTTGTAATTCAGGCTGATGAACCTGGAAAATCCCAGTGCTTGTGCAGCAGCTGCTATTGGATGTGAAGAGTTTTTCCTCCCCTAGTATGTGTGCAGAAAAGTTAACCTCATGGAAGGGTGTGGTGTGGAATCTCTGGATTTAAAGGGTTGGGAGAGAGGTGGGATCAAGTCCTCTGGGGGTTCATTTACTTTGGCTTCCTGTGTTTGCCTAGGGCTTGTCTAAACTATTACTTATTCTTGCTCTCTCAGTGCAGCATGAGTGCATTCCACAGGCAATCCTGGGCATGGATGTCCTATGCCAAGCCAAATCGGGCATGGGCAAGACTGCTGTCTTTGTATTGGCTACACTGCAGCAGATTGAGCCACTGGATGGGCAGGTATGTAATGGGGAATAGTACTGTACTGTGCTTATGTCCAGCGCAACTCTGTTTTGGAGCTATAGGCTGTATTTACACGTAACACTAAATTATGTTTTATTATCATCTGCATGAACTGCTGTGAGCCAGAGAAAAGCCTTAGGTTCACACAACTTTCCTGTGAAGCCAGGATGAGGCAGTGTTTTTTTCTTAATTTTTAAGCCAGTGGTCTTTGACAATGAAACTAATTTTCAACAAATCCTCATTGTGGTTGCGAAGAAGGGAGGAGCGTTCAAGCCCAAGGCTCTGCTCATCCCCACTGCATCTCAAGTACATAGCTCTAAACCATTGTATAGTGTTATGTGTGTTTCAGGTAGCAGTGGGGAGTCCTAAACCTTTCTTGTCATTGTACTGTCTTGCCATTGTACAAATTTGTCCGTTTCTTTCTGGCAGGTGTCTGTGCTGGTGATGTGTCACACCCGGGAGCTGGCCTTCCAGATCAGCAAAGAATATGAGCGCTTCTCAAAGTATATGTCCACTGTCAAGGTAAGGGAAAATCTTTTGCATTTAGGTCTGAAATATATACAATACAGAATGCAGGCTATTGCTGTATGACAGGAAAAGGTGGAAGGCTATCTTTGCTTATGGAAATGGTATGTGCAATTATTTAGGAAAGCCTGTAGAGAGGGTTGAGAGAGAGGAAGTGACCTTATTGTGGGAATGGTTTTAGATGTTTCTGACACATTGCGTGTGAAGGGGGGGGGGGAAATAGATCAGAGGTAATTATACTTCATCCAGCAGAGCTTTTACTGCTACTGAAGGCAAATGAGCATAATGGTCACAAATCCAATACAATCAGGATTGGCACAGTCCATAAAAAATCCAGTTGAAGCACTTACAATAACTTATAATAAGTCTAAACCTTAACACCACAACATACAGAACACCACACCACATCAGAACAGAGACAGAAAGAGAAAGTAAGAGAGAACCCAGGCTCCTCCTGGCCTCCCTAATATAGTCAGCAAAAGATAACAGAACCAGTTTAAACCAGCTGTACTCAGCTTCTCTGAAGGAATAACCCAAACAAGAACCTTCTGCCTGTTTCTTTCCCATAGAAAGAAAATTTTCCAGAACCCTCTTGAACTAAGTAGAGCAGGAAAGATCACTACACATCAGATCAATACTTTCTGTACTAAGAAATGGAAACTGACAGTTTCTGCATCTAAAACTGCCTTCAGATAGAACGAAAGCTCATGGGTGGGAAGCCCTGTTGGAACCCAGGCTTTTGCTAATATTGTTAGTTTAAGGTAAAGGTACCCCTGCCCGTACGGGCCAGTCGTGTCCGACTCTAGGGTTGTGCGCCCATCTCACTTAAGAGGCCGGGGGCCAGCGCTGTCCAGAAACACTTCCGGGTCACGTGGTCAGTGTGACAAGCTGCATCTGGCAAGCCAGCGCAGCACACGGAAACGCCGTTTACCTTCCCGCTAGTAAGCGGTCCCTATTTATCTACTTGCACCCGGGGGTGCTTTCGAACTGCTAGGTTGGCAGGCGCTGGACCCTGTTAAATTGATGGGACGCGCTTGTAGCTCATTGGTAGAGCACACACTTGGTAGAACATATGAAAGGCACTGGGCTCATTCCCTGGCTTCTCCAGCTAAGACCATCAAGACCCTTAGAGCTATTGCCAGCAGTGTAGGCAATACTGAACTAGGTAGGCCAATAGTCTGACTTGGTTTAAGGTAGCTTACTATGTCCCTCTATTCTGAAAGAGCCTGCCTGCTTCCCTGCACCACCTGATTGCTTCATGGGGACCGAAAGCCTTGTTTCTTGGGTTTGGAACAATAGTTGATCTGATGTGTTATATTATGGTGGAGAGTTGGTAGCGCATGAGACTCTTAATCTCAGGGTCGTGGGTTCAAACCCCACATTGGGTGAAAGATTCCTTCATTGTAGTGGGTTGGACTAGGCAATCCTCATGGTCCTTTCCAACTCTATGATTCGAGGTGAGAAGCAGCATAGGTATGCCACACTCATAGTTAATTGTACTCTCCCTTCCAAGTACTTTATTGCACAAGTTAGGTGTGGTGTCCTCCAGATGTTGGTGGACCAACTCATTATCGGCCCCAGCCAGCATGGCCTAGTGGTCAGGGATAATGGGAGTTGTAGGCCAGCAGCATTTGGAGTGCACCATGTTGACTGTCCCTGACATAAGTAAATTGGTGGGGAGTTACTGAAGTTCTGAAGGTTAGGTGGTTGGGTTTTTCTATGTGGCTGACAGTAGTTTCTGTTTGTACTGCAGGTGTCAGTCTTTTTTGGGGGGCTTTCCATCAAAAAGGATGAAGAGGTGCTGAAGAAAAACTGCCCACATATTGTGGTGGGGACCCCGGGCCGCATTTTAGCACTGGTGCGCAACAAGACCCTCAACTTGCGCAATGTCAAGCATTTTGTTTTGGATGAGTGTGACAAGATGCTGGAGCAGTTGGGTAAGAAACAAGAGGGGGCTGGCATAATAAAGACACAATGTATTGAGTTTTCATGGTCTGGAATTATTCATCCATCTGGGTATGGGAGTTGCTGGCCTTGGGAGAAAGTCTGGTGCTTGAGTTCCAAGTCAAGGAACTGAGGAGCAGCCAGCTAGAAGAAGGGCACTGTTGCTTAAAAAAT